TTTGATCTTAAAACTAAATTTTATAATACCTGACATACCGATCCATATCATCGGCTTATTGCCTTAGCTTCCATGGGATGTAATAAGAATATGGCCGTGCTCGTGACCTATAAGAAAATTTCCACAAAATATGAGATGCACCACCGGTTGCAGAATGCCTGTTCCCGGATCCAAGCAGATACGCATGTTCAGAAGACTGATAGATTCTCAAGCTTAAATTTTAATATAAATCATGTCTTAATCCTTCCTGAATTTTGTTTCAGAGAGAAGCCAACAATTCTCAATAAACCAAAGGAGAAGGCTAGAAACAAGCTTTGAAGGTAGTAAACTGGAAAGGTTCAAATGCAGCTGTTCCTTTTTTTTTTTTTTTAATCAATTTTGTTGGCTCCTATATGAATTTTCCTTTGCAACTCGAGCTGAAACATCCATTGTCCAGATTATATTTGTTTCTCAGAGCATCAACGTGCGCTTTACTTTCTGTCTTGATTGTAACTGATGCGTATCGAATTAATGAGTGGTAGCAAACTTCATATGTTTTTTTTTATGAGTAGACTTCATATGTGGTTCATCTTGATTTGACTACAGATTAATCTTTAGAATTTTTTTTTTTTTTTTGAATAGCAAGGCAAGCTAAACCTTGGGGCTAAAGATATACAAACCACCTATCTAACGTCCCGAGTAGCATTCTCTAAATGTAGATGAAGTTGACGCAGACATAAGTCAGGAGGTCTGGCTAGTAATGTTTAGACACTAGGGTTCTGTTTGAAACATGGTAACGAGGGGGAGGCATTGGAATTGAGCAATGCCAAGTTTTCATGTTTGGTATGAGGTAATGGAGTGTCCAATACCAGTGCCAGTCCCATCTAATATGGGATTACACAACACCACCACCCCTGCAAAATCAATCCTGGGATTGGATATTTGTTGACCAAATTGTCCCTGTAAGATTATGCAAATTTCTATAAGCCTCTCTTCCCCCATCCACAATGGAGACCCCTTCCTCTCATAGATCTGCTCCTTCTACAATGGTGATGGCCATCCTTCTAGAGATCTACCTCCTTCCATAATGGCAACCTCCCGACAACGGTGAGCAACACGAGAGTGCAAAGTAGTTTCAATAAAAGTCGAAGACGCATATGAATTTGCGACTCAAAATTCCAGTGTAAGGTCCAGAAGACCCATGGCCACCGTCAAAGTCCAGAACACCCTTGTAAAAGCCATCACCTTGCTCCCTTCCCCATCTGTTGCCGCCGTCGAGAGATCTTGCAGTGTAAAATTCGAGCACCCATCTGCGGCCGCCGTCGAGGTCCAAAAGGCACTTGTTAAAGTCGTCCCCTTGACCCCTTCTACCGTCGCATCGTCATTGTCTAGTCGCAACTCGTGCTCGTCGTCGTCTCACTTGTTGAAGAAGAACCATCGAAGGTCGAAGAGGATGGAGTCGTGGAGGGCGAAGGCGAAGGGCGCATCTGGGTTCTAGATGAAAAGTCATACCTGCTTTACCAAACAGGCAGACAGGGCCTACCAGTGCTGGGTTGGGAAAAAAATAAAAAGCTAACAGTGCTGGACTTTATCCGGTCTGTCTTAGATGGGCTAGCCAAGGCCCAACCCATGTGCGTAATATAGTAAAATATTCCCTAAATTAAATTATTAAATTAATTTAAATGATGATTGGTTATTTAATTTTAAATTCAAGCTAAGAAGATTTGAGATAGCTTGTTGCGCGATCATAAAAGAAACTTCCTGGCAGTTTTTCTCAGGCGGTGCAATTTGCCAATTTCATTCCATGTCCCTACCCTCAAGGCTCTCACATGATTTTTTTTTTTTCCCCAACGTGGGTGAAAATATCCTTGAGAGGTGTGTCTGCTGTAAACATCGAGTTCAGTACAGATGGATGATTGAACCCTTACAGTGCGGTTAAGTGGGTATAGGTGAAAAATCGTCTAGGTAATTAATTACTCCCAACTCTTGGGGGGATGCGAATGAGCCTAGGTAGAACGTAGTTTAGAGTGGTTCTTGGGGTGTTTTCAAGTGTCACAAATCTTAGTCGGCTGCACTCATATTTTCCTTTTTGTGGCATCGTCATCATTTTTATTCCATTCTAAATTGGGTCGGGGTACCTGCTATTGTTCATTTCTCTCTGCTTCCCCACTCCATCCTAATTCCTCTATTTTCTAGACTGTCATTTCCTAATCCTCTCCGACAAATTTAATATCATTTGATCGCAGTTGGGAAGGGAGCAGGATGCTGCAGTTGAAGCACTTTATCTGTGTTTAAAAGATGTTTCGTTAAATTGATGTGATTTCCATTTATCTTTACGAGCTAGAAATTATTTCAAATATTTCACTCAACTAAAAAATTTTAATTTTTATTAACTGTCATTTAAGATATAACAATTTTATAATTTTATTTTTATTTAATATATATTATATCTTATATTAAAAAAATCAATATAACATCTATATAAAAAAATTTTCTCAGTATATAAAAAATATTTTTTTATTTTATAAATAGAATTAGAGGAGTATTAGGAGAAGATAAAAAAAAATTGATGTGGACCTTGAGACGCGATACTGTTTCTTTAGGAGCAATTCAATTTCCATGGACCACATGCCATGCCGCTTCTCCTTTAAAAGGTGGCTGTGGGCACCAATCCATTCCCCATATGGTCTTTCAAGTCCACAGTCAAACTATATTAAACAGTGATTGTAGAGAGGATGTTGCACGAATCAATTCATGGGATAATTGTAATCAAGTCTTAAGGAAAGTTCTAATAATAATTGAGCAGTTTATAATGATAAATTTGATAATAAAAAATGACAACTCTTCACTTGTCATTTAGACTTTTTAATAGTTATTTTTGTTTTACAGGACTCTGTTATAATTACCTTTAATTCATTCTACATATTAAACATTGGAGCATGTAATGCTGATTGCAACATAACTATCAGAATTAGAAAACGCCCTTTCATATGCACCCATTACATGCTTGTTTAGGAATGCGGTGGGAGCCTTTAAAAGTAATTTTTTAATTATAATATACGGAGTGCAAAATAAATATGTAAAGAATTTTGTCTTAATTTAAGTGAAAGTGTTTATAAGCACTTAAAAAAAAAGTAAATTTAAACTTGAGCTGAAGACTTAACGCAATTTATTACTCCCTCCGTTCCTCCTATTATAAGAGACACTTAAAAGTTGTCTCTATTTTTTTGTATTGATTTCCAATTTTACCCCTATTTATTTTGTCTCCAACTCATACTCTCACTCCCTCCAACTTTCTTTCTTTTAGTAATTTAATGTTCTCTCTCATACCCTCTCTCCTTATTAATGGGGGCATTGTTGGAAAAAATATTATACTTTTTACATATTAATTGTACTCAACTAATTTTAACTGTTTTTTAATCAATGTAATTTGGTTATTTGTCTCTTATAATAAGAAACTGAGGGAGTATTAATTTTTCAATGGGCTTATGTTTCCCATTTATTTTTGCTAGTTTAAGTGTTTCTCTCAATTGTTTTTTTTTTTAAGTCGTCCTGTACGTATAGTTAATTAATTTCAATTTTTATGAATAAAAATGATTAAAAAATAATTTTTAAGAAAACATGAGATATCAAATTTCAAGGAAAAGTACAAAAATTTTGATTTTAAATTTATATATGCTGATGTATTGATTTTGGAATACTCCTTTGAACATCAACTAAATTTTTATTAAAAAATCCATCTATACATAATATTGAAATATTACCTCACTCTTTAATATAAGAGCTAATTTAATTTTTAATTTGATTATAAATATAAGACCTCAATTCTCTCTCATATTTATTTATTTTTTCTTAAAACAGTTTTTGTTGTAGTTGTACATGTTAAAAATTTCATCAAATAATAATCATAGCCAATACACATGATTGGCAACTATAAATAATTAACTTAATAAATTTTCTTAATATACTCAAATTAGTTAATTAGATTAAAAATTACAGACAATTGAAATGTCTAGTGCGTTTTTTAATCATTATAACAAAGTCTATATGATGTGCTCATAGAAAGTAATTTATATTTCTGGAAGCATGGGATGGCTCACGGAGCATCATGGACGGAAGAGTAGCCGGTAAAGTCTTAGATAAATCCAAATAAAAATAAGGAAAAAGGTGCTGAGATTGGGTCCGAACGTCGTGTCCACATTTTGGATCACAGGGAAGCGTCGGCATCAAAAGCAGGATTGGAGCTTCGTGGATCATTTTGCTGTTTCGGGGTGGGGTTGAATCCTGGTTTCAAGGGTCCAGCTCGGCCTCATCCCCTGCAAAATTCAAAATATGGAATGCCAAAAGTACAGACAACATAAAGCTGGGGCACGTGAACCCCCCCTGAATATCACGTGAACTGGGGGCGACCCCTCCCCATTTCTAGTGGAGCCGCGATATGATCCCTCAGGCCAGGGGCGTGGCTCCGTACCCCAATCATGCTGGCGTTTGAGGGTCCTCTTTTGAAAACCACCAAATCCCCTACGAGGGCCCCACCATCCTCCTCTCCCCACCCACCTCGCCAGATTCCCTTTTATGGATGCGCCTCTATCTTCAATCCCATCCTCTCCTACCCTCGCCTTCACTCACTTCTCCTTCCTCCAGTTTACCAGACCCGACCCAGAATTGACAATGACGATCCAACCCAAGATCTTATCCTCATCTTTGAATAAACTCCGACTGGAGAAAAAATGGGTGCCCACTATTTAGTATAACATTTTCAATCGGCTGCCTAAGAAAAGATATTTCGTGGGATTATTGACCTCCATCATGTTATCTTTTTTCTGAAATTTTCATTTTTTGTTGTTTAAGTTATCGGGAAAATGAGGTGGTCCACTGGTCCCAGTTTAGTCCAACCCCATTTCTTTGCTACGTACCTCTCCTAATCTGACAGATGCAAACTGCATGGGTTTTGTGGACATGCCTTCGCGTGTACTAGGAATTAAATTCATCAGATACGTTTGGCTTCCAAATTATCGTTTGAGAACCACATCTTTTTGTATTTAACTTCTATCATTCTAGGTGCCATCCCCCTTACCGGGTGGAACCTAACATTTTGCTTGCGTGCTCCCTTAGCTTCTCCCTGTCTATTCAACGACCTGGAAACTCTGCTTTCTTCTTTTTCCATCTCTGCTAATTTGGGTGTGCCATCTCACCGCCTTTCAAGAAGCGGCAAGAAAAATTAAAGGGAGTTTTGAGAGCGAATAGCTTGCAGAAGGAGATTAGTTGCGATATAATATAGCTCGTGCACCAGGTGTCAACCATAAAGAGACCACAGATGGCAGAAAGCAGCCGCATGTTATAGCTCCCGGTTAGAGCACCTTCCGTCGTCTCCGTTGTTGCCGGATCTACTCTTCTGGAACTTCATATATCGATCGAATGGCAGAAAAACATACTGAGTCAATCCGCCCGGGAATCACAGGCAGCTCCTCTCATCTTGCTTCCACGTAGGTTACTGTTGATATTTTTTAATTTTCGAATGTCCGATCTTTTTTTTTCCAGTCAAATTTATTTATTTTTAAAATCCATTTGAAGTTAGCAGCTGGAATGATGGATACGAATATATATGATGTATTGCAGGTGCGGCAATGATTTTGTTGAGCTGGTTTGGGAAAATGGCCAAATCCTGGTGCAAAGAGGGTCATCGAGCAGGACACCGAAGAGGCCTTCTTGCTTTGGTTATTCCATAAACCCCTCACATGACGCTTACGACCAAGATCACGGCATCGCTAAAAGAGCAAGGCTAAACACTTTCTACTCGCTTTTGGACTCTTCCCATCAAAATTCCCCACAAACCAATGACCCGTCTTCCTATGCGTTTGATTTGAAATGCACCGAAAGCAACAGTTTCAGTAATAAGCGCAGGGATGAATTCTCCGATTTAAGAGCAGAAAGAGAATCTAGTTCCAAGCCCACCGGGGGGGATACTCAGTTATGCTCCACTTCCTTACAGTCCCAGAAGCATGACTTGGGGTCTGATCAAAGAGTTGAAAAGATTAATTTCTCCAACTTCCTGAGACCTGCATTGTTTTCCAAATCTACTTATCAGGGAAATAGTGCAAGTGGGCATCCAAACAGTGGCGTTTCGGCTAGGGTGGAGGAGATCAAAGCAACTGATGGTGGCAGTAGCAAAGCTCTTGATCATTCCGTTGTGATTGACTCGGCTAAGGGATCACATAGTCCCAACGGAATTCATCCTGGCCAAGCAGCTTTTACTTCTAACAAAGCAAGCTCACCGACACCCTTTGATGGAAAAAAGGATCAGGAAACACTCCCTGATGAACAATCCGAAGCTGTTGGGTGCGATAGGGCCCTCAAGAGTCACGGATCACATGGTCAATATCATCATCGCCAAACACACAGTAGAAAAGGAAAAACAGCCGCTGAGTTTTCTGATGCACCCTTGGTAGCATCTTCTTCTTTGTGCTCTCTTGGAGCCTCGAATGACCCTACTATTCGTAGTACGAAACACGAGGACACCGACGATTCAGCCTATACAACTGACGTAAGTGGAATTCTGGAACCCTAGCTGGATTGTATTGACCCTTCGAAGTGTTTCAGTTTCCGCGATTTTGAGCAACCTGGCTATCATTGTGCAGAATGATGAAGAAACAGAAGATACGACAACAAAGGAAACGCCGGCTCAAGATGGTTCAAGAGGCAAGAGAATCAGGAATACGAAGATGCATAATTTATCGGAGAGGGTGAGGAAGAAAATACACACACACACCCGTTCATATAGGACAACCGAAGATAATCCTATTAACATTGTGTTATTATGGGTCTTAATTGATTGTTTTGGATTTCTGCAGAAGAGACGAGATAAGATTAACAAGAAGATGCGTGCATTAAAACAGCTAATACCTAATTGCAATAAGGTATATAATTTCCCCCAACAAGTAGAAGCATTAGTGAAAAGGAGCATAAATTCGAACCCTGACACGTGGTTTAAACATCTATATCTATGTAATACTTTGATAATTAATGAAGCCCTTTGTCGTTATTTTAATGCTAATATAATATCTGATTGGATTTGTGTGTTTGTATGGATGTTAATTAATTAGATGGACAAGGCTTCAATGCTGGACGACGCCATCGATTATCTGAAGACCCTCAAGCTTCAGTTGCAGGTAAAGTAGCTAAGATATTTTCCACTGATGGAACTGTTCAATTAGGAGGGTTATAATGATATGGATGTGTTAAGTAAGGCGCGTGCATATACATATAACGGATATATAATACATATTTGCAGGTATTGTCAATGGGAAGTGGGGTTTGTATGCCTCCAATGATGTCGATGTTAGCAGCAGGAGGTTGTGGGCAGCAGTTAGGCTTAGGCATCCCTTGCAGCCTCCCTCATCAGTTTGCAGGTGGCAGTATTCTTCCACAGCTCCCTCCTCACCTTCACAATAGTCTTCAAATGCTTCCTGGTTTCCCCAGTCATGTGCTTCCCAATATTCAATTCCCAATTTCCCAACAGTCACCTTTCATTTCCATGCCCCCCAAGCCTATCCAACCCTACCTCTCTTCCCACCTAACCACATTTGATCGCGACCCTGACCTTAATGCACAGCTTGTTTCAGCCGCACCTATGCCAAAAGTTGCTCAGGTTTGTTCCATCTCCACTACCGTTTACTATAATATAATATAATGGACTGCGACCTGAATGGGATGGATTGATTATGACCCTTGGAAGTATCAAGTGAAAATCTAATCTTCTTATATACACCAACATAACCAAGTCAGCCATTCTTGTGTTTTTTCAGTTACGCAAAGTAAACATACTTCATGTATATCTGTCAGATACATTTTTGTGCAAAGACAACAAAAATATGGGATTCTTTGTTATCATTTTTTTACCCCCCCCCCAAAACTGATTAATTCAATTAATTTTCAAATTAAAAAATCGGGAAGCAAGATAACTTAAGCCTAAAACTCGAGTATTTCAACTCCTATGCCAAAATATGCTTTTGGAATGTAATTTTGGCTTTCTGCACGTCTCTCGGAGTCGCCAGACTTGATTGGCCATCGGTGAGATTAGAACTGAGAAGTTTGAACACATCTCTGTATAAACTTCTCCAGGCGTGATTAATACCACAAACGACCGATAACGTAAATAGATAGATGTTATTCCATTGTTTCTGAGCTCACTACAGCCCTAAAAACATACTTTTTGTCAGTAATATGGTTTTATTCGGCTTACCTTTACGCTTACCACTAGTACTGTCGCATTATGCAGGGATCAAATCCAAGTTGATGCGCATAGCTTGGGTGCAACGTTTAGAGGAAATGAATGGAGTTTGAAGTCGCTGCTGAATCTTTTCAGAATAAAGCAGTCAGATCGATCAGCTGTCCCGGCCGGCCGGTCTACAACAGCAATAACCTTATAGAATGAGACAGTACTTGGAAGCCTGTCTGAGGACTCACAGATCGATATGTATAGGCGTAGGAGCAGCAAGATTCACACATCCATTACAGACATCATTTTACATTTAGAGTCACCATATCATATCACAGTTTCTTTCTTTCTGTTTTCCCCACTCTTTGGTGGGCAAACTCGATCGCTTCTTCTAATGAACTTATGTTGATTGCGTTAATGTTGTGGACTAGTTTTCCTTCTTTTACTGACGGATAATGATTGTGTTCGATTCCCATTGCTCCTTCCTCGTTATATTATTTAATATGATTAAATTTCGCTATTCAAGGAATGGAAATGTAGCCATTTAAGCTAAGCTAGTTGGAACACTTTTGATCTTGTCGCAGGAATTTGTAAAAGCAATTTTTTTTTAAAAAAAAAAAAGCGTAGTAAAGTTCTGCTCGTATCAGTCACTTTTTTTCTTCTTTGTTTTTTTTTTCCCCTCCTCCTACACAAGTTCTCTCCTATCCCTGCAACGAATTTAGGTTGTGAACGGTGGTGTAATGCTCCGTTTCAGACTGAAAAACCACAATCAATTGGATCAAGACTACAATAATGTTACTAAAGAGAGAATTTGTAAAAATGAAGAAAAAGAGAATAAAGTTCACTTATATGAATATCATCATAGGTTAACTTTCACCTTATACAAATTAAAAAAAAAATCTAAAACACGTATGTTTTGTTTTAGAATTTGTTTCTTCGCAGACAATCTAAAACACATTGTATAGACAATTTTTTTTATTTGAAAATTTGTCACCCTGTGCATGTTAAAAATATAAACTTGTTTTATTCCCATACAAATTGCTTTACAATTTGTTACCTAGTACATTTTGAAAATTTAAAGAATAATTTGTTGTTACCCTCGTACATATTTCATTCCCGAATTTATTATTTTGTTTTTAAAATTTAATAATTTGTTATTATGCTGTATATATTTTATTCTAAAATTTATTACCCATACAACTTGAGTATGGTAAGTTATTTTAATAATGACTTGTAAACTTCTACAATTTATTACTCTTTTGCATACTAAAAAAATTTATTTCACAATCTAGTTAAACACGCTAAATTTAAAAGGATTTATATACTAAATATGAAAGAAATAAATTATTATGATATAAAAAAAATGTCATGTCATGACTTATATTTTTATTTTTTTAAATAAAATAAAAAATGAGTACGGCCGAAAGGGGAAAAAACTCTAAAAGGCATGTGCTTCCCCATGGGCACTGGGGCTAAGATCAGACTCATTTTTTCGGCCTACTCTCAGAAGGGGCCTACTCGGATTAACTGGCCCAAATCTACAACACGAGTACTAGAAACCCGCCACAAAAATCACACTTTTCCAGGACTCCAGCTCCAAAATAAAGCCCCAAAATTTAAAAGAGAACCAGAGCACGGGGCCACGCCATTCAAGCGGGACCCACGGCAATTACTAAACACCAAACGTCTCTCGTCTACTGTTGATTGATTCGACTGGACATCCGCAATAATCCCCCAAAAAAGGAAAGAAAAGGAAATTTCCCTTGGAAACAGAATACAGAATTATTTCCCTCACAAAGTAATAAAGTCCGACTGTTATCATAATAATAATAATAATAAAATACGACTTAATCGGATGAAAAGTTGTGGGTCGCGTGCGGGACCTAAACGCGTTGTTGGGATATCTTTTTCTCACCGACAAATTACAGTCACCCTTTTTCTCTTTAAGTTACATACCGTTTTTGTATATCATTTATATTTTTTCCCCCGAAAATTATAATAATTCTTAAGAAAATAATCAAAATAGAGACAGATGAGATATTCATTTACAACTTCTGGTCCGCACAGAACAGTGTCTACATGTAAATTGACTAATCAAACCGTTGGTCGTTTAGCCCCAAATAAAGCATAATAACCACAACCATTTCCAGATTAATGGAACTTTCACGCTCACGCGGCTTCCATTTCTGGAATTTTTGATTCTTTCTCGAGCTTGGACTCCGCAAGATCGTCTGAGAGCTTCAGATTTGAGAAAGCATCGTTTATAAATTCGGCGGCTTCCGAAGTTTCTTTTCCTTCCCTATCAGTAAACGCGTTTTCAGGTTCAGGAACTCCGGTCTCGTTGCCAACCGCCAGCTCTAACCTTTTGAACTCCTCTTCAATATCTTCTTCATCAAGATCCGTGTATGCTGGACTTCGTTCTGAAACTACCCAAAAGAAATGCGGTTAGAGAACAAAGAATCCCCAATAAAGGTGTCACATACAACTTCAGTCCCAAATCATAACCACTATCCTGAGATTGCATTCAATCAATTCCCACGCGTGGAGAAAAATACCAGAAAAGAACAGCTCGTTATAAAAAAGAAAAGGCGCGCTTCAAATGAGCGCACCCCTATAGAAGATAAGACAATATATACCTAGCGCCTTTTCAACTTCCTTTTGTGAATCAATGCTCTCTTGGATATCTCTTAAACAAACATCCACTTCCTCTGCACTGATCTTATTCTCTTTCATCGCTCGGGCTCCTAACTCCACGGCTTCAGAAACCTGCTAACAAAGCCCAGTCAATCATCAAATGCAAGAGTAGCCACAGTTCAGTAAAACCTTCAAATTCTGAAATTAACCAATCTCGTTAAAGATTGGCAAAATTCAAAATGCTCAGGGATTATATCCAAAGCTATACCTTTTTCGTGGATTCAGCATCGGCAATAACACGAAGTACTTCCTCTACTCTGTTCAAAAGTGAAGAACATTTCTCTCTACTCTGGGTGGCCAGCTTCAGCTCCCTAGCATACCTGAGAGCCAATTTTCTCTTTCCAGAATGTAATGAAGTTAGTGCTGATTGTCTTGACCTGCAAAGAAATATAATAAATCCGTGAGACAGGCAAACATCACTACATTATAGCTACAGCAGTACTGATATAAGGCCTAGTAAATGAGCGAGAGAGGTTTTCTTTTTATTTTCCCTCAGAAAGTTCTCTTCTCAGAAGCCACTCATACCTATACTAGTAGATATAATCACAAGGGCTTACAATTCATAACGTTGGTCAATCATATCAAGCTGTTGCTGAAGCCTCTCAGTTGTCCAAATCAAGTGCAGAATATCATAATCTAAATTAGATATATGGGATAAAGCTGATGTTGAAAGAGAAATTTTGATACCCTGTAAACACAGACTTGAAATGAAAATGCCTAATATTTCAGGAATAAAATTCAGATACATAGGATTGGCCTCAGTAAATGAAACAGTCTTGCGTAGCATTAACAATAGCCATAGAAAGGATGAAACCCAATTTTTTTTTCCTTCTTAAAATTAGTTTACGTTGTGGATGTTATTTTATCCCTGTATTTGGGTTCAACAATATCTAACATCCACAACCTTCTCAATCACTTATTCTTTTTGTAGAAAAGTAGTAATTTTTCATAGCAAGAAGCCAAGAATAACTTGGGCAACGGTTTGTTCCACAATGATACTATACCTCTACAAGTTCTTTCTTACGCACTGAAATATACTGTGCTTTTCCACACCCTCCCAGGTACCCCAAGATTGCAGATTTCTCATCAGGCCCTCCACATACTTCTTGGAATTTCTTCATTGTTACGATACATGATGAATTCCAGTGACTTTCAGATAGAAGTTTGATAACTTCAGCTGCCTTATCCTAAACATCAAGAAATGGCACTATAATAAAAGAATAAAAAACTTGAAGTAATGGTATGGCAGACTCCATTATAGCTCATTGACTAGCTTACACCGGCATCACATTGAAACCAACAGTTAAAAAAACATACAGATGTCAAAGATCAACGTGCTCCAGAAACGAAACTATTCATACAGTCTATGTGCCGCGTAGTTACTATATAATTTTAAATACATCTTTTACTATGCTATCATCAGTTCATAAGAAAACAAACTATTGAACTTCTTAGATGATCATTTTGACATGTTATTGTTTCATTGAAAATATTTTGTGGACATGATATGGCCATCTTTGGAAAATTTTTGTCAATCTTCAGTGATAACGCATATTAAACGTCAGAATTGGACAGGTTCAAGAAAATTAAGAAGGGTAAAAGAAGAACTCCTGAAATAAAAGAATGGCTAGTTACCTTAAGCAGCATGGTTAGGATGAAAGGTTCTTCAGATATAATTTCCTGAGTCGTTGTTGACCTTGTTATTAGGTTGCTTACTTTTCTGAATAATTGGGAGAGTCTTCCACTAGTAGGATCCACAAGATCAGCAGTTCTTGTGATATCACCTTCATTATACATTAGAAACTGAAAAATGAAAATGTAAAAACAAAACCAGACATGAAAGCAAAGAAATGATTTTAGGTAGCAACTTAAGCTGACGAGAGAAGAAAAGGGGGGGACCATCATACACCAAGTTGAAAGCATAAATCGACATAATTGAAGTATTCTACAACAAAAGAGTATGCAAAAAATGTTCAATATAAGCTTATATTGACATCATTAGATGGTTTACTCGGAGAGAGAGTGATTTGTTCCCCTAAATAACTACTTTACCAGCCTTAAGCCTAGCTAAAAAAAATCTTGCCCACTAGGAAGAAATGACAAGGTCCTTGTGAGAAAACATTTATTATAAATTGTAACAAGGTAAGGGGGTTAGAATACTTCCATGCGAGAATATTTATATTATACTACTATCCCAAAGAAGTAGTTATTGCCTTAGGATTGTTAAACTTATCTAAGAGTTCCTGATGAGCATTTCTAGATACATTGACACTATATTAACATTCATTACAGATATTTAATTTAAATTTAATGCGACATTATTTAAATAAATAAATTAAAAAAAAAAAAAAAAAAGCAACGCGCGGGGGTTCTGGCTAGTTCGTTCATAAGGCACTGTGCCGGACAACTTATACAAGTTTATGAAACATCTCAACCAGCAGCATACAAGAAAGAGTCTAAAATGGGGGATTTGCAACCAACATACCAGCTGAATATAGTGCAACAAGCATGTACTCACCAATACATGGTCGAGACATAAAGGGGTCAAGCCCCCTCGATTAAACCAATCATTCTTGACCTGCAATGAAGCATTGTTCAAATAAGACCAAACCAGAACTGAAATAAAAACCTTAATAGGATAAAAGCAAACAAATTATGCCAAAATTGAGAATAAAACGGAAAAAAGAAAAAAAACCTCGGAAGGACGAATAATAAAGAGCCCAACATGTCGGGCTATTTTGATTATCAAATCCCTCCAGAAGAGGAATTTCGATTGCCAATCAGATCTTTGACCGCTAAAGGCCTTGAAACGGGCCGAGGCAACCACTTCATCGTCCCAATCAGGCACCTCCGATAAAATGAAATCCTTCACAGTCATCCTTTTGGAGTTCATCTTTGCATTTTTTTCCGGCAGCGCCGCGATGTTAATCGCGCCCTCACAAAGCCCCTCAACTTTAACGTCCACTTCACTGTGTTAGGGTTTCCAACTCCGGGAATCCGAAGCAACGACCGGAACGTCAATGACGCCTAGAGCTACCAGCGCACGTAACCCGGTAATGCTAGTTAACCCGGACCGTCCGGCCAAATTGACTCGGATCGGATCAAAGGGGAAGCGGAGCAAACAAAAAGAGTGAAATAGGTCCACCGGTTGATGGCGCGCGCGCAGCAACGCGGCAGTAATTTCATAATTCACAAATAAATGATGCGAGAAATTATTTTTCGACAAAATGGAGCTCTGGTCAGAAAATGTCATGGACCTAATAGAGATGATATCTCCAGTTCAGGCCCACTAAAAATGAAGCAAATAATATAGCCGAGGATAATATGGCCATTTGACTGCAGTACCGGGAATTACACTGTAGCTAATGATGTTTCAATAATTTGAAAATTAAAGTCAGTGATGCAATGCGTGATGAAAGTTGATTATCATGTCGCACTCGGAAGTAATTAAAGAAGATGAGAATTTACTGAGCTAGACTCTGCCACAATTTATCGGTGTGCATTTTAATTTGTAGATTTTGAATAGGAACAAAAACAGTACAAGACGCCAGACTTTTCTCCCTTCAAATTAAAGTCAATTGGCAATGACTGGCATCTCTGTCCCTTTCACCTCCTGGCGCTGGCCTCCAATTTCAACTCCTATCTCTTTTCGTTGTGTCCATTAATCATTGAATCGTGTCTCTCCTCTTTCTTTCCCAATCATTCTAATTCTTCATCAATTGAAATATTTGGCAACTAATAAGCGTAGTACGGGCTTATCTTCGATTTCAAGATTGATGTGAGTTGATGTTGAGTCATGCTCTCTGGCTCTCTGCCCCTTATTTTTATGGGACAATTTTATATAAAGAAACCCCAGACAGAAAGAGTTGATTACCAATAAATACCCTAATTCTGACTTATTATCACTGGATATCTTGAACTTGTAAATTTGTTTTCCAATGGTGTGGTTTAGGGTTTAACTGAGGATTTTTTACATGTGCCCTCTCCCGTTATTTTTCATCCAAGTTTAGAATTTTATAAGGCATTTTTGGACAATCACCTATTAATTAGTAATAAGTCAAGCTCAGGAACTTTCAATAATTAACTTTCTTATATGTAATTTTCTCTATTTTCATTCTTATGTTCTCTTTGTAGTCAAGGCAATTAACGGAATTTACAGCAATAGGTTGCCAAGTAAGAATGAAGGTGTTAATTGAAGTCGTGGGACGAGTAACTAATGAAGGGGCCGGTTAGATGCAATGAAAGCGAGGAATTTAGCTGATTGTGGCAACTCTTAATTAATTGGCAATTATGAGTTATAATAGCAAGCGATAAAATGTAGTGAGATCCGCATGTGGGTGTTACTAAAGTTGGGCCTGGAACGCAGAAGATTTGACTGGGATGAACGTGGAGTGCTTCCCAGTATAAAACGTGTGACTCTCTGATGATGTTCATCTCTTGGACTTTTAACATCAATGACTCCACCAAGCAGCCTGGCCCGGTGCAAAATGTCCAACAAAGCAACAGCATCTAATCAGAAAATTATGCCTTCAGAATTAATCACCATGACGATACACGTGTTCCTAATAATTTCATCTTTTATTTTCTCTCGCGACCGCCGCTCTGCTCTTTTTCCTCCTCCCAACTTCAAAAGAAACGGAAAAATAAAAACTTATCGTGATGGGCAATCAATTAATCATATTGGCTTGAGAGAGAGGGAATTACATGGCCGTGTTATTTGATTCCATCCACTTTAATTTGTTTTTGTCGCATCAGGGTCAGCCACTGATTAATTCCGCCCGAGTGATGGTTGGTGTTTCTCGTCACATGCAATTGTCATCCTTCTGAAAAGGGGATATCGGGTTAAGGACAAAGGGGCAATTAATGATGTTTACGTACTAGGTGCGCAATGTCTCTCCACTCATATGCGTCACAGCACATGTAATTAGCGAATCCATCAGTTAAAGTTCAAACAAACCCACCACGCAAGGTGAGTTATTTTTACATTTGTTACGCGTGTTTTGAGGTTACGAAGTCATTTGCATTCGTAGGTATTCGTTATTTATGAAAGCCAGGGAAAGCAGGAGGGACGACTCCAATATTAATCCATGCTGGGTACAGCATGCATGCAGGACGATGACTGATCATGATATGAATAATGATAATGTTATAGAGCAGTAGCAGTATTTATTTGTACGGTTTCATCCCATCCACTGTGTATAATATAACCTCAATGAATCATTGAGGAGGGTCCCATTAATCAGAGGTTTCTGAGGCGGTACTTTGATGGCGCTGGGTCCTGCGAATATCGCCGGCTAATTCAGCTATACTTTACATGATCCTCTCCTCTAATAACGTACACGCTCTCTCTCTCTATAAATATAAATGGTTCTCATCAGATGCTAGTTGTTGCCGCTGCTGCGTCTGCATCATAATTCATAGCCAGCGTCCTAGTGGAGAAATTATTAATTACGCTAACCTCTATCTTTTCACGATGCGTGATTGAGTAGGGCGGGCTCAAGTAAATGATTCAAAGCACCCAGAGTCTTCCTCCTAGCTTCAGTCTGCGCGCTATCAATTCACCGGCTATATTTCAATGTTGTTTTGAATCCTACAGTGCTGCGCGCATCTGCATGACGTTGAACTCATTTTGGTTTTTCCCAAAGTAGTTAGCTGATTCACGTTTTGGCACTTTAATTGTATGTCGCACTGCTGGATTATTTGATCCTTCGGCCGAACCCAAAAGTGATGTGCATTGTATTGAGAAAGGAATGGGGCCAGATGGGGCTTAAGCCACTAAATATTTTAAGTAATAATGGAGGATCGTTGGTATACAGTAAAATATAAAATTCATAATAGATGATTCCACTGGCCACCAGTCATGAAAATTATACCTCATTTTGGGACCCCAGGCCATATCATATCAGAGAGCCAACCTAAATAATGTACTGATAAATGTTGATCATTTGGGGGCCCAAAATATGATTAAGTGGGTAAGTGAAGGACTGCATGACATTGTGAGTCACTCGATATGGAAATCAGACCAGGTAGGGCTCAGGACAAAGATAGAGCACAGAGCTCGGAAACGTGTAACAATGACAGAATAACAAGGACCCCATTATATATATACATATATATATATATATATTTGTGTTTATATATTTAGAAGACGCTCGTGTGATGCGATTGATATAATTATTTTAGGCAACAAACGTGGACGATAGTTGCGCTGCCACGTCCATATACGTCCCGTCTCTACACCTCATGTTCTTCACGTCTTATCGCCAGGGTACGTAGGGCCTCTCCTTATCTTCACTGCTCCTCCATGCTTTCGGAGGCCTCTGCCACCCCTAATTATATGTGTGTCGTTAATAATTTCTTCTTTTCCTTTAATCACAAAGTTAAATTTCATGGCTGCCACTTTCGACCACTGGATGGACCCCGTCTCCCCCACCAAAAAAAAAAAAAATCAAATTAAAATCGAAGCAGCACTTTAATAGTTCAGATAGATGACATTACACGTGATTATATATTTTGGTATTAATTGCTGTGCATCAAATAACAGCAAGGGATATGGTTACAAGCGTGGCATTGTAGACGACCAGGGTTGACCCGAGGGGACAGCCCATGTGCAGGCATATGAGAAGTTTACGATTATCTCTTTGGTTTTCCCGTTCTCTCTTTTATTATTGAGAATATAATTGCACACTGCTCCATTCATTTATGTATAATTGCTTAATCATTATTGATTATCCTTACATATGTCAAACGCCACATATTGCTCATCCCATCCTGACTGTGTTCCAACTAGCAAAAGAGACATCCCACCTAGCTAGTATACATTTGTGATCTGCTTAATGAAAATTACAGTATTATTATGTATATGGTTATACTTGTAAGAGCACAAACGTTCTGTAGTGTAAGAAAATTAAAGACTCGTGCGGTGTTCTTGTACCTTTTATAGGATATTTTTACCCCGAAATAACCGCGAGCAATAATATAATAGTTTGAGAGAATCTTTTCACGTCTTTTAAATATAGAGAATTATTTCTTATGGAAGGACAAGTTAGTATGAAAAATATCAATATAAATTCATAACAATGGCAGGGAAAATTCAGTAATGTACGTGCTGTGCAAAAGAAGATTCTCGATCCTGATTCTTTTATATTGCAGACTGGACGGACATGGACAATAACAAATATTGCAGACTGGACGGACATTTAAATACTTGAGTTAAGTTAAACGATAGTATTTATACGTAACAATAACAACAATATGAATACATGCATGATGCATATCGAACATGACAACATAGATAATTAAATAAGATAAAAGAAATAAATTAATTAAAAAAAATTAGAATGCAGATATGATGAATATGTGCTCGGGAGTGCACGTGCGACTGTGCGAGTACGTAGAGACACGTGTGTGTGTGTGTGAACCATTCATCAATAAAACATGGCAGTACTGTTGAATAATTTAAAAACAACATGCACATACAAATTAATTCTTCAGCAAACCGGTCATGTTACAGATTTTGGAGAGTGACATGCATGGGGTGGGGTGCAGTTTGCAAATTTATACGGTTGCATGCCTATTCTATGGATTCAATATCACAGTATTTGTCTTGACAACAGGTTTTTAAATAGAAATAGCAATGAATAAAGTTTGTGAAGTTCATTTTTTCCGAAATAGGCTTTTTAAGGAAATGTGCTTGAAAATTATGATCCGATAAAAATAATAATACTGTGAGAATACCTTTGTTATGCAAATTATAAAAATACATTTTCAACGCGTCACCAGACAGGCCCTAAATAGCTTTATGAGAAAAGTGTTTTCGTATTTATTCCTGTTAAGTGTATGTATTTTGTATGCATGGAGAACTACGTTTTCTTTTCTTTTTTTCGTTTTACCTGTAAATATAAACTGACTTAGCTTCCCTTATATGAATAAAACAAAATTTCTAAGAATAATAGCATTGTTGCATTCTCATAATTAAGCAGTATATATATAATTGGTCGACATTAAAGATTAAACTTAGATGAAACCCTGCGCTTTTCAGATTTCATAAAGGACAACAATGAATTACACACTATCATACAGCCAGAATCGGAATCAAGCGCCACGAGGAAATTATCATTTTGGTTTTGGAGTATTAAAATTTTCAAACGTTAAATATTATGACAACTATATTATTCGTAATTTTTGAGATTTCGTACGTAAATTATTTCGCAGTGTAGCTAAAACAATTCATCTGACCTCTGCACGTTAGAATTGAGGAATATTAATTAAATACAACAGTAATAGTCATCTAAAATAATTTAATAGGATAAACACAAGAGGTTTAAGGTTATAAGCAGATTAAACTCGTAATTGTTCATGAGATAAGTAGATCATAATTATTGATAATGAAAAATTTAATAAGATAATGAATCATGACATTTTGGAGTACAGTGAGGATAATGCATGCCCAAAATGACGGTGATTGATCCGATCAATCGCTATCAAGTCGTAGTGGAGCGCACCGACACGCTGTGTGCTATCCGCAGAATGCAGAATCTGATGGTTCCGCACACAGTAATATCGGCTGCGTCTTGCAGAGGAGCTTAATATCCGGCGTTGAGTGATTGGAAAATTAATTATAATTATATTAATCCGATGAATATGTCCAAAATATCTTCAACTATTTTAATGCAAGTGGGCAACATCTTGATGTGGCATATTAATTTTCCCTAGCATACAAGTTAGATTTTCACATTTATTCATCGAATCAGATAAACAATAACTGGCCAATTAAAATATATTATTTTCTTCCAGAGTTTAAAAGTAGTAGACTACGAAAAACATCATAAAAATCAAATCAAGGTGTAACCTGGATTTTGGTTTCAAGATGTGTATGCTTTTAAAATGAAAGATGTTTATAAGTTAATACTAAAAGTTTGATTAATCGCTGGGTAGCTGTAATCAGTTGTTATGAAATATAAAAACGAACAAACTATATGAATATGAATAACGCGGTTTATTATCACCAACCCTGAGATGCATAAAGCACGAGATGCGTCGTCGGACTCTATTAATTTGCTTTTATTTTACTTTATAAATTTATGTACCCATAAAGACCTGTTGTCTGCATTTATTCGCGTCTAACAATAACGTGAATAGATAGAACCGTCGCGCCCTCTCTCTTCTCTTTTATTTGCTTTTTCCATCCCGTTTTCCACGTTGTCTCGGGATGATCGAAAACAGGCCCAATTAATTAATTTTAATATTAAAGTGCTACTCTGTTTATAAATCACTTTCAATATATTTTATATAAATTAAAAAATATTAAATTTCATTAATTTATTTAAAATTTAATAATTTTGTAATTTTAATTAAATTTATTTAATATACATTATATATCATATAAATAAAGTCAGCGCAATAATAAATAGAAAATAAAATTGTATATCTATACAAAAAATTTCTCTTAGTACCTTATAAATAGAACCAAATTTTTTTTCTCCCTGTCCTATAAATAAGACTAGAGGAGTACTAATTTTTTTCCTAAGCCCCGTGCTTTGTCTGTTTATAATTTATTTTCTTGGCCAGTAGTTTATTTATTTATGGGGCGTTTGGCATTCTCAAAACCGTGGTTTCAGAAGCACTTTTCCACAAAACGAGATAACCTCTTCCATATTTTACTTCGTAATCCGTAAAAGCACTTATGAAATCATAGTTTAGTTTCTATCCAAACACCCCTAAGACTCCACATGGGATGGGAAGCTTTTCTTGCAGGACCTTTTTGACATAATTTTCCTGACTGATGTGCCATTACCGTGGTTGTTTTCTTTTTTCTTTTCCTATTTTCTCTTTTTTTTTTCCATATATTATTCTTTATGATGTGATTAGTTGATCAGGTGACATCAAACATTTTCATTTTTCAAGAGCTTTGGTTCTAATATTACATTCAATTTTAATTATAAGACTTTATTTATAAATTATAAATTAAGTTTTATAATTAGAATAGGAGGCAGTACTTAATATGAAAATTTGGTGGTCGGTGCAGCTATCTCAAGGTTTTAGAACTGATGGAGTTCATTACTAATTTAGTCGGTAGTATTTACGAAACTAGTTAAATTGTCTTTTAACCAAATTAAAATTTTCAAACAAGCATGGCACTCGTGTCACGAGTTGTGATTGCTGCACTTGCGGGTGGGACGGTTGCGGAGTTAATGAGATTTTGATATAATTGTCCCCGAATTATTAAGACTATCAATCGCAAATGATAAACAGAGTAAAGAAAAAAACGTGATGTTAATGAATGCTATTTGGGAAAAATATTAAATGAGAAAAATAAACTGAAATAAATTGCTGTGTTCATGATCAAGTCACATCTATTAATTAAGTTTTATATTTGGGACTACTTGTTAAGTATGCCTAGCCTTGCAGCATCTCGAGGGGTAGCTTTACTATGATATTTTAGCATAATTTTTTGTAGCTATTTAACAATTATCTAATCAACGAGAGATAGATGCAGAATGGGCACAAGGTCAACATTTACACACAAAAAAAAAAAAAGGCCACTGAGAGAGCAATAAAGTTCAGATGAGAATTTCTTCCTTCACTCCCCACATACAGACATCGCTGTTTTCTACAAGTCCATATATACATATCTCTTTAAAACAGCGCATCATGTATTTCCAAAAATTAATAAGAGGATTTATATTATAATTATATGTACACCAAGCGTGGTTCCAAGACTGACAGGCTGAGAATGGAAAATATGACAAGGAAGATTTAATTGGCGACTAGAGAGGTGGAATTCAACGGGGAAATGATGACATGCATTGATTTTTTTTTTTTTTTTAAAGGGAAGAACATAAAAACATGGTTCTTTCCACGTAATGATGAAACTTTTCAAAGAAACAATGACGCGGATGAATTGCACAGTGCACACAAAGCTCAAAGAGTAAAGAAGTGCAAGAATCTCTCATTTCATCAATCTATTTTGTCAGTCTCAAGTTTTCTCGCACTAGGCCCAGTAAAAGGGGTACTTCATTTTGCCTTTTGCAGATACACATGGACAGGCCTTGTAGCATTTGTTAGGAACGTTGCTGGTTTCTTTTATTTGTTCTAATATAGTGGTTTTATTTCGCTCTGGGAGAGTTCATCGGGGAACTTAATTTAATTTTATATAATACTAGTTATTATTTTTAATATAAAAATTAGTTTAATTTTTAATTTAATTATAAATATAAAACTTTAATCTATTTTGCCTTTCATATTTATTTATTTACTTTTAAAATAATTGTTATAGTAGTTACATATTAAAGATTTTATTAAATAGTAATTGTAATTAATACACATTATCAGTAAGTATATTTTAAAAAAGACAACATTTATAACTAACGTAGTTAATTTCTTTCATCTACTTAAATTATTCAATTAGCTTTTATCTTAAATGAAATGACCCACCGTTTCTGCAAGAGACATCAGTTCTCACACCGACGATAAATTAAGACATATGCGTACTGCTTGCTAACCCCAACTCCTCACCCAGCCAAAATAAACTCTCCCCCCTCCAATGTCCAATCCATAAACTGTGAAGAGAGAGAGAGAGGAATGCAAGAAACCTCATTGACCATGACTTCGCTCGCATGAGGCCCGGCTCTTAAATTGGTTCAATCCCTTGTTGCTGAGCAGCCACTTCATTTTCTAGACTTCACATTCAAATCATCCATCTCTCTCTTTCGCCCTCACATCCTTTCCTAATCTCGCTCAGGGCCTCCTACCTCTGCTGACTTCTATTTCTCCCAGAATTCTTCGGATCTTTCCAAACTAAAAATGGGGGGGCACTCTTGCTGCTATAAGCAGAAGCTTCGGAAGGGTCTATGGTCCCCTGAGGAGGATGAAAAACTTTTGAGACATATTAATAAGCATGGCCATGGCTGTTGGAGCTCTGTTCCTAAGCAAGCCGGTATATCATTCGAATTCCCATCTCCTCTTTATCTTCCTTCACAGTTTGTGTAAATACAAATCCTTAATTCATTTCTTCTGAGTCGTCGTGTGTGCATGGTCAGGCCTGCAGAGGTGTGGTAAGAGCTGTAGGCTGAGGTGGATCAATTACCTGAGGCCTGATTTGAAGAGGGGAACGTTCTCACAGGAAGAAGAAAACCTTATAATTGAACTTCACGCAGTATTGGGAAATAGGTGATCTCTCTTTCTCGTCATAATTTTTATCATGAAGTGGATTTGAGTCATCATTTTTAATTCTGAGTTCGCGTTTTCTCTTCTTTTCCTCACTTGCCAGATGGTCTCAAATTGCGGCGCAATTGCCCGGAAGAACTGACAATGAAATAAAGAATCTGTGGAATTCTTGCTTGAAGAAGAAACTGAGGCAAAGAGGCATCGACCCTGTTACCCACAAACTACTCTCTGAGGTTCAGAATGGAGACGACAAAGAGAAGGAGCTCAATGAATTGAAAGTCCTCAAATCAGAGAGCCCAAGTTCAGATGCCACAAAAGCATATACACCCACTATGGAAGGGTGTTCCAGTTTCAAGTATAACAATAGCACAAGTAACACCAATTTGCCAACCAACTGTAGCAGCAAAGAATTGCTTCCAGGTGGGTTTAATACGAGCCACACCACTTCAGGACTGATGGGAAATTTCCCACTTCAGATGAATTATGCATCCACTGGTGATACCTTCTTTGCCAATTCAAACCCTTCTTCCCAATGGTTCACCCAAACAGGAAGACCAACATTCAATATGAACCCTGAATTTGCCTCCAATTCCATGTCCACCGTTCTTGCGCCTCCACCCACTTCATTTCTTGGTGTTCCCTGCGATGATGTTTGTGCAGCCTCTTGCGCTGAGAATGCATCGCAATCTCATTTCTGGGGATTGACAGATTCCGAGAAAGAGACCCAAATTCAAGTGCTGCAAAGCCAAACAGAGGAAGCCAAGTGGGGGGATTACGTCCAAAACCCAATCTTGATGGTGCCCGTGACTCATCTGGTGTCTGATAATTTGGGACTCATGTTGCCCCATAGCAAGCCGCAAGAAGAACCCTCACAGACTTGTAATATGTTTTCCAAGGACATCCAGAGGCTCACGGCTGCGTTTGGACATATATAGTGACGCCGATGATTTTAGTAGTACAGTACAGGTGTGTGCAACAGATTCTGATATTGTACATACACACTTCTTTCACCCCTGACGCGAATCATTTGTCTTCAACCTTTTTATCTTCTCAATCCTCAGGTGTGGTGGGTACATTCGTAGAAACAAAGAATCTTCCGCTCTGTCTGCAAATTGCATTACAGTGGTGCATTTCTGTGTTTTCATTTATGCCCTTTCTTTTTTAATCCTTAAAAAAAATTATTAATGTGTGTATATTTTCAATGCCAAAGCCATAGGTTTATTACTTTGCGTACAATGGAATCCGAATCTATTTTATACGCTTCCTTCTTCTCTGTTCCCACCCCTAACTTTTCAGACGCTACTCGGAAACAATACTAAAATGAAACCAGCGCTTTTTCTAACCCACGATTCTAACGGGTTTACCATCATTATCTCGATAGTAGAATGGTTTATTCACTTTCACATCCATGAAAGTTTAAACTTACATGACCAGTGAAGGGGGTCGGTCTGCAGAACCTTCCAAAAAAATTGCAAGTTTTTCTGATTGACGGCATTTTCCTTCACTACTCACCAAGAAAAGGACAGGAGTCACTGAGTCAGCACCGGCACATCGTAAAAGAATACAATAAATAACCGTTTTCGCCTTATCAGGGATTGGGCAATGCTGCAGAAAAGTTGTCCACATCCCACCCAGAAAAAGAAAAAGGATGAAATGATTATTTATTACCGCACATAAATTTCACAGCCAATCCCTTTATATATAGGTATAGTTAGATAGATGGCAGGGGATGATCTTGAACATTTGCCAGCTCTTTGGTTGACATAAAAACGAAGTCTTTGTGTGTCCGGGAAGCCATTGCCGGAGTAAAGGAATGGCACTGATGATGCTGATGATTGGGGGGGGTAGTCACTGGCTTGCGGTCCGTATTCCGTACGGAGAGACAGAGACTCGCGAGCTAATAGGGGCCGTGCGTACGCCTCCCTGTCATGTAGTTCCTTCAACACACCTTAACCATTATCCTGTCCAACGCATTTCGAGCAAGAAACTTCCAACTCCAAGAGCAAACAAATGAGTAAATAAATTGCATCATTGTGTTTTCATGAGCTGCTTTATCACTAACCAATCCACGCCACACGCGTGGCGCAATCCAGCACCACTCTCCCTTATTCACGATGTCAGTTCACAAGCCTTTTGTTTTTAGCATTTAAAGTTTACCGGCATGTGCTTTTGAAGTTGTCGCTCACTTACAGAGCTAATAATTCGGTGATTCCTGGTGCCCTTGATTATTTTTGGGAGATGAAAATTGATCCAAGTTATTTACTGTGCAGGGGCCGGCAATTCATTACAGGACAATCTGTCGAATTAGAGTGCCCTGGTGTAGAAGCACTGAAAATATATCTGCATGAATCCCTCCTTATACAGCGGACGAATCAAACGGTGAATGTATTGATTCAGTCGGCAATGAATAAAGGTTTTTATTTTTGGTGAGACCAGAATCAAAAAAGCTAATTGACTTGTCACGTTGATCGATTCAACGGAACAACGGAAAATCAGCATCAGCATGACGCATTGCTTATTGTGCATTAGTGATGAGCATCAAGCAAGGGCGGCCCAGAGGCCCAAATTACTACTCATAGGCCCACATTTCCAAGAGTTGAGACGAACTTTGAACGTTTGGGTCTTCTAATTTAGACGCAGGGCCGAGTTCCTTGATGGGGCCTGGATGTTAAGCCTGGCCGAAAACTTGGAGGATGATTACTTTGTCAAAAAAAAAAAAGAAAAAAAATGTTGTATGATGAAATATAGCGGTTTTTTCAAACTGATTTTTTTAATGCTGCACAATTCACATTCCATATTAAGAATTTGGTTTGAAACTTGTAATGGTGAGGATGCAAGCAGGTTTTATTTATTTATTTTTTAAAAATGTTGTGCGACATTGAAATGTTCCTCCAGGAGACGTGGAGACGACACGAGGGCGCACGCCAACTCCGCCATTGCCGCGAACACCTGCCGACGATTCTTATTATATCTGTTAGGATGACGTTCATAAACCTAAACCCGTGAGGCTGTCGATTTTAATGGCCTGCACTTTCCATCACCGTCCTAGAATGTTTTTGTGCATTTTGATAATGAGTTGAAAACGTTAAAACTCGATTTTCTAATGATGGGCGCGCACGAATCTTATCCTCCGGTCATTATGAAACAAACATCATAATCAACTCTCAGTAATTTAACACCGATACTGTCAAAACTGATGTTACTGGCTCAATTGAGTGGAAATGTAACTTTCAGAGAGCCGATAAATGATGATGAGTATCCAGTGAAATGTAAAGAGAAGCCCAAAAGGCAAGTTAGGCACACACTTGAACTGATATTGAGGCTGACTCATGATGCCCACGCCTGTCCTTCATCAACACCCACTCCCTAGACGAATCGGAGGAACGTGCGCTTGGGTTCGACTTGGAATTAATCAACACCAATGTATGATTTATTCTGGTTCTGCCACACGGGTGACGAGAGAAGACTGGGGATTTGTTTGTTTTAAACTCAGAAGCCAAAATATGGGTGGCTCCAGACTGATTAAAAATACCGGTAAATTCACAATCAAGGATTCAAGGGTGCCGCGGGTGGAACCCAAGCAGAGTGAATGAGAAGGACCCACTTTGAGTTCCTAGTCTGCTGCTCACAATTCTCCGTCTCATTACTCATTGATTAGTGTGTGTGTGGACATAAGAATATGCGCTGGTAGCATCCCCCAGGGCCACGTGTTATGTGTTGCTTCGCAAGCAAACGCACCACGGCTTTATCCCCACGCTGAGCCTATCCTTTTCCAGTTTTCCTATCCATTCTCACCATTTTTTTTCCCTGACGGTTAGGAAATTATAAATAAGAATTAATAAAGAAGTGGACAGGTGTCGTCAAGTTTTGGAGAGGAGGGGGTATTACATCGCCAGGGGGGCACGTGGAAGCAGCCAAAGGGGTTGCCCCCTAAAACCATCCCGCCAATGGTAATGGAACGGCACAAATCGCCACACATTGTTTTTGTGTGGGACGGATGGTTCGCAGTTGGAGCCCACGTCCAAGGTGTCACCATTTGTTACGACCTGCTTTGGTTATAAGCACATTTTTTAGGAGGCTAATTGGGTTGCTACGTGTCCTCTCTGCCCCCTAAACAATTTGATTTATCTTTAATTGTCCGTTTCATCTCTAACTTCCGCGCCCAATCACCGGTTTCCCCTCAAGTTCGCACAAACGGAGGCTCCCTACGAGATATGAAAAGGCCAATCAGATCACCTAATCTCCACACCCTCCAAAGAAAAAAGCCCTTGTCAATTTCATCCCGTGTCGCGTTTCACTCCTCGTTAAATGTGCTGCTGACTGCCACCCTACTCCCACTCTAATATTATTCTTATCTATTATGGGGTATGAAGAAATTTTTTTTCTGTGAATATAATATAATAATATATAATTTTTTTTTTTTTTAATTTTATTTACATAAAATATAATATATATTAAAATACGAATAAAATTAAAAAATTGTTAAATTTTAAATAAAAATTAATAAAATTTAAATTTTTTTAAATTTGCATAAAACATGTTAAAAGTCATGTGTAAGTATAAATAGAGGAGTATTTATTATTCGGAGCGACAAAGCAAGGGTATAATCAATCAATCAATATTTCTGGTCAAAAAAAAAAATCAATCAATCAATATTAAAAATGGAAAAGAAGACTGTGACTCACTATAAAACAAAAAAAGAGCTGGGGAAGAGGAGCGTATAAAGTTTCGAAATAAACAGGGTAGTTGATCGGAGGTGCCCTTTGGAGTACTTCTGTTGTGACTTGTGAGCCTTATCGTGAAATGCTAAACGTATGATTCACAATTCGCTGCTCTCTTCCATAGCGTATTCTGCTCTTTTTCACTAACGCACCCCCCCCCCTCACTCACTCTCTGCTTCACTCGCTTGATCGCTTCTCACTTCCTTCGTCTTTGAATCATCTAAAGCAGCGGCCTTTTCCTTTGCTTCTTTTGTTGAACAAAAGTGATCGATGGCTTCCGATGAGACCGCGACCTTCCATTCGTCCTTGCCGGATGAAGATTTCGATTATGATGTTGACGATGGGTACGATCCCTATCAGCACCCCCATCCCCATAACATGTCAAGGCTTTCCGTTTGTACGAGCAGCACCTTGTGCGCCGCTGACGACGACGACGAGGCCGATAATGCCATGGCCGTGTACGTGTCCCGATTATCCATAGAAAGTTTCGAAGAAGGCGATGGTGATGCAGACGGGGAATTATCTGATTGCAAACAGCCACTTACCGTCGGCTTGTCCTCGGACTCTGAAAACGAATCAAGCGGCTGTTACTCCTTGCCGGCGACGCCCCCGCGACGAAGGAATCGGGTTGGTGTGACGGATAAAAGTCCGATCGCGGCGAAGGACTATGCTAGTGATGATGAGGCGCGAAAGGGGAGGTTAATGGGAGAGAACAGGAAGAAGCCTGATCCATGGAGGAGAAGGAGAAGAACTAGGAAAAACAGGTGGATGTCAATGGAGAGAGGTGATAACCGGAAAAGAGAGGATGAGCAAGTGAGCCATGGTTGGAGTGGGGATAGCGACGGAGTGAGAGTGATAACGAGGCCAAAAGGTGGGAAGAGGTCATTGTGCATGGACTTGGAAGAAATGAAGGCTTGCAGAGACCTAGGGTTTGAGTTGGAACAAGAACGGACCCTGGAGATGCCTTCTCGTTTCTCTCTCTCCAATTCCACACTCGACACTAGCAGTGGCAGCAACTCTCCCATCGCCAGTTGGCGCATCTCCACTCCTGGTACGCCATTGCCTTCCATTTTTTCACTACATTTATGCTCTTAGAGTTTCCCCGCTCTAGCTAATTCAGTAGTTTCAAGAATGATGAATATTTTGTGCTGAATTAGATTACTCATGTTCTTAAAAGCCACAATTTTGCATGCCAATAAACTGTCCTGTTGTTTATGTTGATCTCGTCTGAATTACATGTACAATCTGATGAAGTTGTTTCTCAAAATTTAGGTGACGACCCGCGAGATGTGAAGGCTCGGCTCAAAGTATGGGCACAGGCGGTGGCTATGGCGTCTGCATCCAAATACGGCGCTTGAATGCTAGTTTTCTCCTACCCTCTCTGTTCACTTTCTCTGCTTTTGCATGCCCTTCAGACTGCATATCTATAAGCTTTTCTTTTCATCGTCCGTGATGATTATGCTAGTTTACGTCTTGTCCTTGTCCTTGTCCTTGTCCCTCTCGGAGTTTTGGGTTTTTGAGTGCTCGTCACTTTTGCTGTGTGTATCTCCACACGCTGTTTATACAAAGAAGGTGGTTGAAAAGGAGACCATTATTCTGGAAGAGAAGAGAACAGAGTACAGACCAAGGGAAGCAGAGTGTGACGAGTTTGGAACGCTTCGAGTGTGTTGAGTGGTTTCAGAACTCTCTAAATCTGCATTTAGAATTTTCAGATCCTTCATTTTGCGTGAGATATTCATTTCCTCTTGAAGAGTACAGTGTGTATGACATCATATGAAAGTTTTGTTACCGCAAGTGCGAAGAGTTATGTGGTGACGAAAGAAGGGGCTGTTCGGCACTCTCGCTTTAGTCACTGCCGCGTCTATAAATTATAGCGTTGCTTACATATTATTTATGCATGAGCATGTTAATATCCTGTTTTCCTTTTGGTAAATATGTCACTTCCTTTTTGGGGTCTGTGTAATTTTGGTATGGATTGTACAAGTACCTTAATATTGCTTTCCCACGGGTATAGAATCGAGTTTTCTCTTATAATCCAGACCAAAATATTGATCCTTTTCACATTACTACATGAATGTCATAGCGCGCATGACTTTGGAAGGTTATTTGAGAGAGAATCCTGAAACTAGATTTGTCAATGAATTTACTGAGCATTTGCAAGCTAAAGTATGAAATGATTTGTTTCAAATCTTGTGTAGTGGAAAAAAATACGCCTAATTGTGAGGAAACACGTTTTTTTTTTGGGGGTGGGTGTGAATAAAATTATGATCCGCCAAAAGTTTAACGAAGACGTTATCCCTAAGGCATTAACGCAGAAACGAGTGTGGATCGGTTTGTGCAGTGCTGTTGTGAATTTAGTTATGACTCACTGAACTTTCTTCCTATGGGAGGACCAAATGCCTAATTTAGTGTCGGATGTCGACCACGTGTTGAATCTGAAACTGACAGGTGAACAAATTAAACATGGACGTCACTTAGATGCTCCTCTTCACTGCGTGTGCCAATTAGGAATAGAAGAAGCGTCAGAAAATCCTGAAACTTAAATGCCTGTCAATAAGAGAGGATAGAACAGATGTATGGAGTAGAGAAGCGGCTCGGCCTGGTTCATTCATTTGACGGGCGCTTCATTGATTTTGATGTTAACAAGTAGTAATCTTCATGCAAGTTCTGTAAAATGGAGTTAGCCGTGCGTTTTTGGGCAACGAGCTCAGCCGTCGGTTGAAAATAATACTGATCTACCTTTAAAAGTTAAAGCACAGAGAAGCCAATGCCTATTTCACTCTACTTCCCTGCTTCATTTCGTGGCATGTTTTTATGCTTATTTGAGTTTACTTTAGGGTCTTCATTTTCTTTTCGGCCAAGCTTTTCCGCGCATTCCATGATTGATCTTTTGAAATTTCAATAAAGTAAATTTTAATGCTCTTTGAGTTTTCATCTTCAACAAAGATTTAAAACACTCATTCCCTAATCAAACCCATCAGCAACCTCTGTTTTCTCGTGTCCAGCAAACTCCAAGACGAAAGGAGAAAGGAGATTGCTGATTATGCAACTAAACCTGTCACATTTACAATTTTGCTAAGCCAAAACGGACCAAGGATGTCAAAGAGCGTAAGAAATTTCCGGCCCGTTCGATATTATGTCAGTGGAACAGCTTAAATTGAGGATCGAACAAGGACAGAAAGAGGGTCTCCGTTTCGCAAAAGGAATATGAAATCGACAAGGAAAGCAGTCATCATATATAAAGGGGTTACGGTCAACCTCGGAGAGTAGGAGTAAACCATGGTCGCAGGTGTGTCGTCACTGCAAAGGAGGAAGAATGAGAATTTCAGTAAAATCTCACAGGGTTTTGAAACAAGGCAAGCGGAATGGGATCAAGTAAACCTTGAGGGCTGGGGATCTACTGTAGAAAATATACCATCACTGCTGCAATGGACGAAGATGGAAAATTCATTACAGTTTCACAACAATTCGAGAGAATGCATTCACAAAGGGGAAAATATCAACCTCGTTGACTGTGAGCCTACTGGGGTAGATACATCGTCACTGCAAAGGAGGATTTTAAATTTCAGTTTCGCTGGGGAGTGGGAGAAGATAAAGTGTTCCCTTTTCTTGTTTTTTGGTTTTAGTCATGGCATTGGAAGACTCAGGATATTCCACGTCAGTTTCCATACGAGTGCTAGAAAGTTCCAGCATTGAATTATAAGGCGGCCAATAAAAGGTCTGTAACTACAAACCCCTTCCTCCGGGTGTCCCCCCCCCCCCCCAAAAAAAAAAAAAAAGTGTGGATTCCTGATTCGTTTGAGAAGTCATACCTCAAACTCCGTCTTAACAAAAAGGTGGGATTTACCGAAAAATTCCAATCACCTTCTGAAAAAGTGGCATAGGAAAAAAAAAAGTAATATCTTCAAATGAAACTTTTGGGGGAAAAGTATGAGACAACTTAAATTCACCAATAAATCTAATAGATCTAATTATTTGAATCCTTATACAAAGAATGTCCTTTCCATAATAATTAATGAGTATTACAGCACCCAAATGGCAATCACCAGAATGATAACATATATATGAGGTTATGATATGAGGAGGCAGTAAGTTCTCACTCACTTGAAGACCAGATTATGGCAGGTCTTGTCACAGGGGTATGCACAGTCAATAGCCTTGACAACTTGCCGATCAAAATACCAGTCTCCAACAGCTATTGCAATTGGCTGCATAACAAAATATATACAAAATTATTTTCTTAAAATAAAAATGGGGCTACTTGATCTGCGTTTTTGGAGTCATTTGTTTTGGAGCCAGCGCACACGCGTCTGCAGTCAAAGCAAGGCAAAAAGCATATGGAATGGCATTGGATTGCTAATCTACGCAGTATGAAATCTCGGTTTTATTTAAGTATTGAACTTTCGAAACAAGGTACTTTCCCAAGAGTTTATTTATCTCTTTCAATTCAGAGCTTCTGAAGATATATACTCCTCTGATCCTATTTATAAGGTACTTCCAGCATGTTTCACACAGACCAAGAAAAACTTTAAACTTCACTAACTCTCATTTAAAATTTAATGACTTTCCAACTTTATCCTTATTTAATATACATTATATCTCATATAAACAAAGTCAACACAATAATAAATGAGGGGTAAAATTGTACATCCATACAAAAAATTTCTCTCAGTGCCCTATAAATAGGACCAAAAAATACATTCTCTCTCTGCCTTATAAATAGGACCAGAGGAGTATTAATTAGTTTCTCGAGAAATTATTTGGGGTCCCTATATCCATTGTCTGTCTTTTGAATAATTTCTGTTATCCCAACAAAAAGACATTGATTTAAGACCTAAAGGGTCTACATAGTTCTAACTCGATGCTTCACCTTACAATTTTGATGATATTATAATGCAATATCGCTGTTTTAAGAGCATAAAATCCACCTGGAACATACCTTGTTCTTAATCAAGGGAGAGTCATCAGCAAACCAAGTATCCTGTCTCTCAGATTGGCAATGAGCAAAACAAGAATTTATGTATAGTCCAGTTTGAGATGGAAGTGAGAAACCCTTCAAAGCATTAAGCATTTGATTTCTGAAGTCTGATCAAAGAAAGAAAAACCGGATATTAGTAGGAAATCAGACAAATTCCATATATAGGTCAATCACAGCACATAATTCATAATATAGAAATTAAAATCACCTTGGAGGAACTGAATTTGAGATGAATTACAATTTGCGTGGTTTGATTTGCAGTTATTCCAAGAGCCACGGGGGTCAGCTGAAGGCGGTGCTAAACTGGCTTGGAGCTGATCAAAACAATCGCAAGTGATTTAGTTAAAGCCATAAAACTTTTAGTAGTAGTCAGGTTTCTGCAGCCAAAGTGGCAGCTGTGGGTGAGTCCACAATTGATTATGATCTTTGTTCTTCCTTGTTGGTTACTTGGTCGGCCCTATAGATTTTAACAAAAGCATATAATGATAAAATCATAGATAAATGGAACTTTGAAGTATTAACCACACTTAGAAAATTAGTTTGATGTACAGGAAGCTGGGTGGCATGAAGTCCATATCGTAATTTTTTTTTTTTCCTTGCACAGAAAAGAAAAAGGGAGGAAAAAAAGCATGAAAACCAGTAAAGACGTGGTTCTTGCAGTTCATATATAAACGGCACAGCATAAACATAGGAATAAAAGAGAAAGGGCATGGTAATTAATTTTACCTGCCATGCATCATAGGCTGCATTGAGTATAAACAAAGGAGTCGTAACATGGTTGATCAAATTCTGAGGAAAGAAGCACTGAAAAGAGCCCATATGTTAAAAGTTGTGCATGTCTTGGTAATATAAAATATTGAGTAGTGACTCATTCAAAATAATAGAATTACCGAAGTTGGGTCCAGTTTGTTGAGACAACTTTCTGGCAGATTCTTTTGCACTTCCTACATTCCGAAACATATGAAGTGACATATTAGCACACATTTCCTTAAGTGAAGCCACTAATGAAAGAGTTGGCAGACAAGGTTGAAGCTAATGGACTTTTCAGATTCAAGCTTAGAATAGCAAAAGTTCTGGAGAGAGCAAATTCATTTAGAATCAATTTACAAGATGAAAACTACCTGTAATTTAACAACACCTCCATATAGATTCCTCATTGTGTGTCCCCCAGAAACATCAATTCTACATGATTGAACATATCATCAGTGAAATCTAAGCCTGAGCAAGGCACAGACTGGGTAACACATCAAGTAAAAATTATCCTACGCATCAAGAAAAAACCCTGCATCACTCAAACATTTCACTTTGGCCGATTTAGGAAACAAGCTCCGGAATTCATCACAATGTATAATGGATGCCAGGCCACCCGCAGAGCATCCAGAGAGAAGGGCCTGATATACAATACTGAATCAGCATCCATAATTATAATGATCAAATCACCATATTAAGAGAAATGTCAAACCTGGTCAGCATTGTGCATTCCCTTAGACATTAACTCCTCCATAGCAGCCAGCCATATTTTTTGTCCTCTGAATTGAAGTTGTGCACTCTGAAAAGAGAACCAAAACCTTCTATTAATGCGATAATAAAACTTAGAGCTGAAGACCTTTTTCACGTAAAAATTAAAACAGTGAACCACTATATTGGAAAAGCCACTTGCGAGAGACGCATGTGACTGTCATACAACCAAATGAAGATCATGTCCCATTAAAGTGACAGCTTACTGAATGTATCAGCAATAAAGAAGCTTTTTCTAAAACTATGCTTGGCAGTAAACGCAACTATATTTAAAGATAAGAAAAAAGGGAGGCGTACTCCACTGACCTTGTCCTCACTGTCCCCACTGAATGATGCTCCATCACAGTACCGTAATTTGACTCTGTTCCAGTTGAAGAAATCTGTGCACAATATGTTAAAAATGACAATATGCAACTTACATGTTTATGGTGTAGCAATCTTCAAGACTGTAAATTCAACGCTATAAGTAAGTAATATCTGCATTGTGCCATGGTGAAGGGAAAAACCAGGGTTTTCTTCAGCTTTATGGCTCAAAATTCCCGTGAATGGTATTTGCTTTTCCATGTGGTTTGAGGAACCACGACGAGTAGTTTTTCTGAAAACACAACTCTTGAGGGTATTGCACCAGCCTCCACCCTGCAGCGACGCACAAGTAAGCCAGCTTCTCAACCAAGTCCAATATAGCAGCATGACAAACAGTCAGCATAGTGTTTTTTTTTTTTCCCATTTTTTAATTATTTTATAAAGCCAAATTCATAATATAAACCATTGAATGGCCAGAACATTGTACAAGGTAGTTAAATATTAAACCTTAGAGTTATGGTTATTGAATTTGAAGCCCATAGTGAATAATACTTGAGATCTTTTTCACATACCTCAAGTTGAATGAGCCAGCTATTAGCCCCAGATCCGAATCCACGATGCAAGTGGTAACCAGGCAGTGTTCCATCCAAACACACTGGCATTATAGACAACCGCGCAAATTTTAGGGACCACATTTGAAACCCAGCAAGAGTTTTTTGTGCATTGGGGATCAGTCCCCTCAGTAAATTAGGCCTTGTTAGGATTATTTTTAACAGAATGGTTAAGAAAGGAAAGCGCACTTATACAGCAGTCCAAGATATATTATGTTAATCTGGAAACATACGTGGCTCCATAACTATATTAACCACGTACTGTCAGGAATCAGTTGAAAGTTTAATTAAAAAAAAATCGATTGCGAGACATACATACAATTTATCAGGTGAGGAATTATAGTTAACCGATGAATTTGGATTCAGCAAAGTCGGATTTGGTAAAGTTGACTGAATTTGGCAGAGGTGAGTGAAGTTTACTGAACTATAATTTTTACTCTCTCTCTCTCTCTACGGAAATTCAGTCAGCACCCTCCTCCAGCATAGAGGATCCAGATACTTTTAAAAAGTCCAACAATTGGAGGAAAGAGGCAATTCACTTGAAAGGATAATTACTGGTCAATTAATGTCAAGATTTCTCCATCCTGCTAATCCAAGACATAATTGACTCCTATAAAATTAAAAAGAGCAGAAAAGACGGGGAAATCGCTGAATGAGTTGATCAATGCATTGCAAGTTCTGCCGACTGAGTGGCTTACGGTTGAAGGCAACAATCAAATACTCAAACCACAATATGAATTTAGTCTCTTGAAAGAGAGAGATCAGAAAATGTAGTGACGATACAAAGGAGTGGAAAAGGCCAAAGAAGAAAATAAAGCAGCAGGAGCAAAAATGGGGGGAAAATAGATTTCGATTTTATTTTAAGAAGAGAAGGTAGAGAGTGATACCGGCTCCCTTGGAAGCAGCTCCTTGAATGAGAGTGAGGGCGACCATGAGAGGCTGGGGCGAGGAAGAAGCTTTTGCTGCGACGAAATCATTCTCCAAGTAAGAAAACGCAGAATGTATTTCAGATCCACGGGAGATAACCCCAGAAATGAAGCAAGCAAGGCCAATGACCATCAAAACCAGCCTCATTGCCATGTTTCCTACTCTCGTCAGTGGCTTGTTTTCTTTCTCGAGAAGACGCGAACTTTGCAGTCCCCGATTTATTCCCAAAAAAGAATAAAGCTCAACGCTCCAAGCTCAGAATATCATTTGTTTTCGTCTCGTGATTTTCTTTCAAATAAAGGCCACTGTGGAACCTTTTGGCTTTGAGCTAAAATGGTTTACCTTTAGCTCAAAAAGGTGGCAGAGGGACAAAGCAACCCCCTTTCATCTTATTTTATACAGGATTATTTGGCATAACAATAAACTTGAGGATGAAAGATAATTTTATATTGGATTTCCATTAAAGGAATAAAGAGTAAATACGCTGAATGAATAACAGATGATAGATATTAATAAGATGATGATATGGCAATGTCCAGATAGGGAGAATGGATAGTGTGGTGCGTAGAGAGACTGAAGCAAGTGGCAAGAGAGCCTTTCGTGGTGGTGCTGCGAAATAAGAATAGTATCCCGCATGTTGCGAACAGCTGTTGGCACCAGTGCTTGTCTTTTTGTGGAGCCAAAATCATTGCGTCGGTTGACTGCAGCGACGCAGCCCCCACTCACCGTCAATGAAATTATGTAAATGTGTAATAATAAATCGCAACGCTTCCTGCTTATAAGCCATAAATACGATTTTTATGAGTATACTGATCATGTTGTAATACCAGTATATTTTTACAATGAAAACGGTAGGCTTCATGTTAAATACAGAGTTGTGAATCATGTTATTTACGATTTTTTTTATATTAGTAAAATGATTTTTTTAACAAGTTTTATATTGATATATGAAATTCTAGATGGATTCTGTGTTAATTTTCTATGTTGCACTGCCTGAATACCTGGCATGCGTTCCGTCCTCCTGTGTATTCTAGGTAATGATTTTTTTTTTTGGGGGGGGGGGGGTTTAAATTCTCAACTCATGAGACAGTAAAATTTGTCAAAATCTGTATATTTTAAAGCCTTGCATTGCAGGTATACAAATTTGATATGAATGAGATTAGATTGATACTGATGGCTGCCGTGCTTTCTGACTCAGTTTTACGCCTGTGGAGTGTGGACGGTGTGGTTGGTTGTCCTGTTTCCTGTATTTTCAGTTGCAGGCCGTCTAAATTGGACCGCCGCGCACATACCGTTTCTAATTTTCTATATACGCTGACTTTTTTTGGTTCTTGTTTTTCTTTTTTCCCTGAAAATCAAACTGTTCGGTATCTATAAGTCTTTATCTTTTCCGATTGAATCTTTGTAGTCTGGACCAAAGAAAGTCGCAGTTGGGAAGTGCTTCTCCTTAAATCTCAGTTCGCATTCCGACCCCACCTCTCCTTTCTGGTTGTTTCTGTCAACTCATACCAACTTGCTCCCTCTCCCTTCTCGCCTTTCTCTAAGCTCGATCTTAGCCAAAAGCCCGAGAAACGTATCCTTCTCGCCTTCCTCTGTTTCGCGGACACATCCACATCTGCAGACTGCTCTCTACGACCACGAGGATATTGGCGATGTTCTAATTGAATACTAGATCGAATTATTAGTGCATGTCTGGTTTCTGAAGGGAAAAATTGTCTGTAATTATTATTGCAATGTTCCAATTGAAACAAAATGCTTGAGGACCCAGGACGACCTGATTTTTCATTTTCGCGTGCAAGAGAGGGATATGTGAAATTAAGCAGGTGCGCAGGGGCAAGCTGCAATTATTGGGCCGAACTACTATCCAAGTCAGCACCAGGCTGAGCTTCACGTAGGCAGGCCCATGGCCGGACGATGTTGCGACATGGGAGGAGGGGTTTTGAGAACCGCCAAGACTTTTAGTTTGGATTGATATAAATTTTAACCCCTAAAATTTGAATCTATTTTTGATTTTAGTCTTTTAAATTTTAGTCTCATGATTTTAATTCTTAAAATTTAATTCACCTTAAAATATCAGTCATGATATTAAAATCTATTAAAACACTACAAAAAATATCAAAATGATGATGTAAATTCACCAAATATCACTTAACTGAATCCGTATTGATAATAGAAGGAGTAAAAAAAAAAAAAAAGTCCAAAAACACAACTCTTTAATCTCTTTTTTTTTTTCTTCCTTACTATTTGTTTTAATACCGTTGTATCATTAGGAACTAATATTTTCAGATAGATAAAATTTCAGAGACTAAAATCATAAATTTAAAATTTATTTTAATTATAAAACCTTGTTTATACACTATAAATAAAATCTTATAATTAGAATGTGAAGTAGTATTAACTTTTTTAGTTTTTCCCAGCCACTTATGACGAAATATCAGAATACGGGGCCCAGGGACGTTGGCGTGTTCAGCGGCTCAACATGAAAGGTGACCCCGTTGGCGCACCGTATTTTATGATCCTATTCCCACTCGGACACTCGGACATCAAGGAACTGCTTCCAAGGAATGGGGAAGCACATCAGTGTACTCACCATCACCTCCATAGCAAACCTAGCTCTAAGCAATATTCTGAATGCGTTGCTGTATTATAACCCTATTCTATTTCTTGAAATTGATCTTAATGGTACAATGCAATGCATATCTGTTTCATCTGGAGTCCCCACTGCATTCAAAACGGGAAAAACTCTACCAGCAGTGACAAAGCCACAAGTAGCCCCCCCCGGGGGGTGTTCCCGGCAAAAAATTACTCAATCAAAATTAACATTCTCGAAAGGAGCACGGATGCTCCCCGGATTATTACCAGTCAGAAAAATCTAATGGAGAAAAAATAATGCCTATGAAGACATGGAGACGCCTGGAGTTATTTCACTGCCTTCATCACCGAACTGATGTTGCTCGCATACTTCTAATAATAGTTCCCGACAAGGGACGACAGCTCCAACCTTAATGCAAGCTAAAAACGCACCCGAAAGCTTTCTGTGCAGACTATAGGCTTCATCAGGAGGCGGCGTCAGCCTGTGCTTCAGCATTGTTCCGCCTAGGTGCGAAAGGCTGTGAGTGATGTTGCTTGCGCGGAAGTCGAACCCACCAAGCTTTGCAAATGGCGTTCCAACCACAAACCCAGCTTGAACGTGGGCATCTAACATCACCTCTGATTCCATTCCAGTGAGGAACCCAAGTCTCTTGGACATCTCGATGACGCCATCACTATCGCGATTAGCACATGCTAGAACCTAATCAAATTGCATGGAGTTAAGGACGGACAAATTTCACTACCCAGATTTCAGCAACAAAAGAAAAGAATAACACAAATTGAAGAATTCAAACTCGAGGTTAGTTACCATTTTTAAATAATCATCAACAAATCTTTTTGGGTAATCCCGTGATGCTCCAAAATCAATGAGATTGATCGACTTAGTGGCTTCATTATACAAGAAATTGCCCCAATTAGGATCAGTCTGCATCAGAAAGGAGTAGAAAACCATCAAGACTTGTCAGTTAAAGGAAACGGACAAAAGGAGTTTTTCTTTTTCATTTTTCTTTCCCTCCTGTGAATAACAATAGAAGTATAAATAAAATGACAATGCATGGACAAGCAAAGAACTGACACCAGAAACTGAAATTTATGAACACACAAGTATATCAGCTTCTAGATTAACATATGACCTAAATATGTTGTTACAGAAATTCACAAGCATATTATCTATCAATTAGACTGCAGCGCTCAACAAGACGAGCGTAGCCACCAAAATCAGAAACTGATTTACCTTTTCCTTGCAGGATTTCATATTACAATAGCATACCAGTCAAACTTATGATTCATATAGTACACACTCTACCAAGCATGTTCTTTACAGAATTACATGTCAAATCGTGCAAATTACAAAGATTTCTGTCGCAAGTCTTAACCAGGTCCCAAGTTCCCAAATTGGAAGTTTCAAGTTCAGGTAATATAACCCTGCTAAAAACCAAGATTTTGGCATATTTCCATCAAGAATTTAATAGGAATATATGTTTACTTGTCTTGCAGAACACCTGAACTCAATAGCTAAAGCAAAATTCATCAGAGATAACAACATATAAACGTCAAATTTTCTATGCGCAGATCAACGAGATCCGGGAACTAATATTACAGTGCAGGGTATTACTGTTAACCATGGCCTATGGATATGCAAATATGTGATTGAGGGGGGGAAACATGCCTGCATAAATCGAAAAACAAATAACTCCAACAAAGTGAGTTCCAACAACTTTTTCCCAATATAATTTCGTGTTTCCTGATCCAGTGATGCCACTTTGTCAACGGTAATTCCTGTAAGAAGGGAAATTTAACTCAAGTTCATAGGCAAGCTAAAAGCATAAAACCTTTAGATCAAATATCTTACTTGTACATAAGCAGAGAGAAAGGTGAAATAATATGGAAGTAAAGTCATTATCACTTGATCAAGCAAAACTTGGGCTTGGGATGAATAAAAACATCTTTAATACTTATGCAACCATCTCCCGAAAAAAAAAAAAGACAGGATGGTACGCTGAAGAAATTTCATTGACACTCTGATATTAACATGTAGAAAGAAAACATGCTTTAAAAATAAAATCAGGTTCACTATAATGTAATCTAACAAAGTGCTAGTTTGACAAGCAGAAACAATATAATTCTTATCAATGGCCTATAACATGGATACGCATGGGACCCACTTAAGAGTATTAATATGCCATTGAAGCTTGAGTCCTACAAGCCTCCGTTGAAGAAAGGGAATGTGCAAAGTACATTTCACATGAACCATCGAGATCTAATAATTACCAGAAACAAGTTCTGTAGATAAAACTCTTTTCCTTGAAATATTATCCACAACTAATGGAACGTAAAATCCTTCTCTGCCTGCAAGCATATCTCGGAATCGCCTCTGATTTGCTGCCTCCAACTCATAATCACATTCACGAGACAATTCTTCTCTAGCAACCTTACAAATTTTGAAGAACAACATAAGCATGCAGCTTTTAGCAAATATATTTGTTAAATTCAAGAGATGAAAAGTCTTCATATATGATATATATCTGTAAATATATGCATATTCAACATCCACCATAGATAAATATTATCCTGCATAGTCAGCAAAAGGTGGGGGCAGACTCAGGGGTTCCAAACAGTAAATTTGGTGGGGCTCCAATTCTAAGAGAAGCTCACTCATTGATACATACAATGGGATTCCAACAATAAATACACACCTTCATAGCTCTGTCAAGATAAAGTCCTTCAGGAATCAGATTTGTATAATCTAGAAGAAGTTTCACATTCTCAATGTCACTCTCGATGCTATCTGCAACACCAGGGTACTGAATTTTCATGGCAACTTGCATGCCATCCTTTGAGACAGCCCGATGCACCTAAGTTTATATGAAGAACAATGTTAGGCCACAGTAAGCAGAAGTGTCAAAAAGATGAAGTTGCATGACATTGAATGAGCTACATAGATGATTTATTAGCACATATGCCTACTGCATACATTGGTTATGGCAATAGAAAATATGGTTTGCTTTGAATTATATAAATTAACTACAGCCATTTACAGAATTTTCAGAAGAAAAACTCCCGTGTTTTTGTTTAAATCTGAGTGTTTCACTCCATTGTATTATTTCATATAAGATCATTACAATATATAGGGTCCGGACAGTGATAATAATCCGGCTAGAATCAAAAAACAATCACTACAATTAATGACAGCATACAATCAGGGATATTATTCTCATGCTTAATGATAGGCAAGAATCATGGGCTTTCTAACACTCCCCCTCAAGCTGGAGAGTAGATGTCAACCATCCCCAGCTTGCTTCGAAGCCCTTCAAACTTGACTCTGGCTAAAGGTTTGGTCATGATGTCAGCAATCTGATCAATCGAACGCACATAGCTTAAGTTGATGATACCACCTTCTACCTTTTCTTTGATAAAATGCCGATCAATATCGACATGTTTTGTTCGGTCATGATACACTGGATTCTTTGTCATTTCAATACTGGCTTGGTTGTCACACCAGAGGTTCACTGGTCCTTCATAGGGAATTCTCAATTCCTTCAGGAGTCTAATCACCCACATTCCTTCACACACCCCTAGAGCTACAGCTCTTAGTTCAGCTTCAGCACTGCTTCTTGAGACTACGGTCTGTTTCTTGCTTCGCCAAGTCACAAGATTTCCCCAAACATAGGTGCAGTAACCTGTGACAGATCTCCTGTTATCTACAGCTCTCCCATGGTCTGCATCAGTATAGACTTCTATGTTTCTTGTATTCCCCTTTTTAAAAAATATTCCCCTTCCAGGATTGAGTTTAAGATAGGAAAGGATTCCGTACACAGCCTCCATATGTTCTTCCTGAGGTTGGTGCATAAATTGGCTTACCACCCCAACTGCATAACTAATGTCAGGTCGTGTATGGGTCAAGTAGATCAGTTTACCCACAAGTTTTCTGTATCTTTCTGAGTTAACCGGTATCCCTTCTGGTTTAACCTCCAGATTGCATGACTCTTCCATAGGTGTTCCATTCGGCTTAGCCCCAAGTGTCCCTGTTTCATGGAGTAAATCAAGTGTGTATTTCCGTTGTGACACACTTATACCCTTTTTGGACCTAGCAACCTCCATTCCGAGAAAGTACCTCATTTGACCTAGGTCCTTCACTTGGAATTCTCTAGCTAGGGCTTTCTTGAGTTGAGAGATCGAAGCTTCATCATCACCAGTTATGACTATATCATCCACATACACAATTAGGATCGTTACCTTTCCATCATTGTGTTTGACAAAAAGAGTGTGATCAGCTTGTCCTTGGTTGTAACCAAACCTTTTGATTGCTTTGGCAAACCTGTCAAACCATGCCCGTGGAGACTGTTTCAGGCCATATAATGACTTCTTCAGTTTGCAAACTGAATTAGGTGGAGCTATTACTCCATCTGGAACTTCCATGTATACTTCCTCCTCTAAGTCTCCATTTAGGAAAGCATTCTTTACATCCAGTTGATGTAGGGACCAGTCAAGATTAGCAGCTAGGGATAAGAGTACTTGGATGGTATTGAACTTTGCCACGGGAGCAAACGTTTCTTGATAATCAATCCCATAAGTTTGAGTGTACCCTTTTGCAACTAATCTCCCTTTGTACTTGTTGATGCTTCCGTCAGGGTTGAATTTCGGTGTGAAGATCCACCTGCAACCTACTGCTTTCTTGTCCTTAGGAAGTGTGGTTATATCCCACGTGTTATTCTCCTTCAGGGCTTTCAACTCTTCATATGCTGCATGTTTCCAGTTAGGATCTTTCATGGCCTGTTGAAATGTTTCTGGAATTTTCACCTGTGAGCTATTCACCACAAAGGTTTGCATTCTAGCAGATAGATTGCCATAAGAGACAAATCGTTGTATAGGATGCTGAGTACAAGACCTTACCCCCTTTCTAAGTGCAATAGGCCATCCTAGTTCTTCAGGATCCAACTCCGGATTGGAATCATGTTGCTGCCTTGGAATGGAAGGAACCCCACTACTACTGTCTTGTTCACTTGAGTGAGATCTTGAGTGCTCTGTCACCCCTGCATCAATTTCAGCATTTGTTTCCATTGTGTGAGTATTGTTTGTGGGGGTTTTGGGCTGTTCTGGTTGAGATGTAGGTTTAGGGGTTTCTGGTTCAGGTTCAGGGATTTCTTCGTGCGGTGTATAGAGTTCTGGAGGATTAGGAGGTGCGTTGGTCTCAGGTTCAGGGGTAATTAGCCATTCTACTCCACAATTCTCCCCCTGAATGGGTAATTTGGGATAGTATGCATCATCTTCATAGAAAACTGTGTCTTTGGAGATTATGAGTTTTCTGGTAGAGGGACAGTAACACTTATAGCCTTTGTGGGTTGAGGAATACCCAAGAAAGAAACATTTTTCGGCTCTAGCACCTAGTTTTCCCCCATCATGTTTATGGACAAAGACCACACACCCAAAGACCTTTTGTGGGATGGTATTGATGATAGGTGAGGCAGGGTAGGTCTCAAGGAGTTTTTGAATAGGGGTTTGGAAGTTGAGGACTTTGGAGGCCATTCTGTTAATAAGATAGGCTGCAGTTAGTACTGCATCTCCCCAAAACAGGCTTGGAACATTTCTTTCCATCATAATGGCTCGGGTTACTTCCAAAAGGTGTCTATTTTTCCGCTCGGCAACGCCATTTTGTTGTGGGGTATAGACACACGAGGTTTGGTGATGGATTCCCTGTTGCTCAAGAAATTCCCTAAAGGCTCCACTCACATACTCTTTGGCATTGTCACTCCTCAGTACTTTGATGGGAGTTTGGAATTGGGTTTTCACAAAGGCATAAAAGTTTTTGAAAATTTGTAAGGCTTCGGATTTCTCTTTCATAAGATAAACCCATGTAACCCGTGTGTGATCATCGATGAATGTGATAAACCACCTTGTGCCTGTTCGGGTTTTGGTTTTGGCAGGTCCCCAAATGTCGGTGTGGATCAATGCAAAAGGGTTAGTGGGTTTGTAAGTATGCTTGGGAAAAGATGTGCGAGTTTGTTTGGCAATTTGACAAGTTTCACATTGGAAAGGAGAAGAATTTTTATTGAATAATGTTGGAAACACATGCTTCATATAATCAAAACTGGGGTGGCCTAATCTTTGATGCCACAACATTACATTTTTATTTTGAGAATTGGAGCTAACCATAGCCTTCCTTGCTCCTTTTGTCTTCATGTCCTTTCCTTCAAAGTAGTAGAGTCCATCCCATTCCTTAGCAGTCAAAATCTTCCTCCCCGAGATCGAATCCTGAAAAACACAGTTAACATCATCAAAGATCACCCGACATACTTGTCCTTTAGTCAGTTTGCTGACAGATATAAGATTGCAAGTGAGAGCAGGAACAAACAAAACATTATGAATTTCCAAGTCATCAGAGAGGGCCACAGTGCCAACACCTTCAACTTTAGTATATAGTCCAGTTGCCACTTTTACTCGGAGGTTCTCATGGCAATATTTGAGAGTTTTGAAGAGGGATTTATTACCAGTCATGTGGTCTGTAGCACCAGAGTCGACAATCCATGTTTCATCACTAGTGACCATTGCATTAAGAGCAATAATAGAATTACCTGACTGAATCAAGTTCACATTGGGAACCTTTTTTGATGAGTTTTGCCTTTCGAGCACCTTTCGGAGCAGTTGAAGTTCTTCTTTGGTTAAGCGATCTCCATCATCACCTTTTTCTTCGGAGGAGGTGTGGTGGCTTTTTCCATCTCGACGCTGTTGCTGTTTCCCATGGGTTGGTTTTCCATGCAGTTTCCAGCATTCATCTCTGGTGTGGCCTTTCTTGTTACAGTGATTGCACCACTTGTTCCCTTTTCTTTCAAAGCTCTCTGATGTCTGGGGTCCCCTTGTGACTAAAGCTGAGGCATCAACTGGAGTTTGGTTACCCTGAGTGAGGTGTCTCCGACTTTCTTCAAACTTAACCATACTGAAGACTTCAAATAGGGATGGAAGGGGCTTTAGACCCATAATTCTGCCTCTTACTTCTTCAAAAGCATCATTCAAACCCAACAGAAAATCATATGTTCGTCCCTTTTCAACTAGTTGTCTGTAGTAATTAGCATCATCAATATTCTTCCAAGGATGTACTTCAAAGAGATCCAATTGCTGCCATATCTTTGTCAGAGTACTGTAGTACTGTGTTATAGTCAAGTTTCCTTGCTTCAGTTCTTTGAGTTGCCTCCTTAGGTCCAACAAAGCAGCAGCGTTGTCCAAGGTAGAGTAAGTGCGCTTAGCAGCATCCCAAATTTCCTTGGCTGTGCTTGCAAGAAGGTATCCCTCACTGATTTCAAGAGTCATTGAGTTACATAGCCAAGACATCACCTGATTATTTTCAGCGAACCAGGTGTCAAAAATGGGATCGTTGTATGCCGGTTGTCTTGCTTCTCCATTAATATATTTCTCCTTACGCTTCCCACGTAGATACATCAATACACTCTGGGACCATTGGAGGTAGTTGTTGCCATTTAGTTTGTGAGCCACCATCATAGGTTGCTGTTCAGTGACTGTTGTCAAATCTGGCATTGGATCAGAAGTTTTGGAGGGGGCTACTGGTGAAGGAGTACCTTGAGTATTTGAGGATGTGCCAGACATAAAACCATTGGAATGGTGCCTTTTTCGACAGGCATATTGTGAACGGACCCAAAAAGTGGTGGAAAGTCTTGTGGATTCATCTTCTGGACGAAGTACTGTACTGGGACGGATCTGGCGACGGCGCGTGGACTTCACGCGCGGCGGCTTGTGACGGCGCGTGGACTTCACGCGCAGAGGCTTGTGACGGCGCGTGAGCTTCACGCGTTGCTCCGTTGGACGCCGGCTTCTGGGGACGCGCCGATCGGAGGATTCCGGTGAGGATTGGAGGGGTGGTGTCGGTCACGTCCTTCTCTGGCCTTCAGATCTGAGGACGCCGGCGGTTCTCTCTCTCTCCCTCACTCTCTCTCCTCGCTCTCTCTCTGTTTACGGCAGGGGTTCAGGACGGTTCCAACCCCAGTGCTCTGATACCATGTTTAAATCTGAGTGTTTCACTCCATTGTATTATTTCATATAAGATCATTACAATATATAGGGTCCGGACAGTGATAATAATCCGGCTAGAATCAAAAAACAATCACTACAATTAATGACAGCATACAATCAGGGATATTATTCTCATGCTTAATGATAGGCAAGAATCATGGGCTTTCTAACAGTTTTCATGACAGTGCACATTGTCACACTACTAATGGTGATTCATATTAATGACAAGATCAGAAATTATATAGTTATACTGGAAATCTGGATGGAAAGATGTACTGATGATGGCTGCCAAATAGCACCAGCAGATAATTGATTTTAAGTAATATGGGATACGAACTTGCATACCTGGCCAATACTTGCAGCGGCCATTGGCTCATAATCAAAACTAATCAATTTTGAGGTCCAGTCAGGACCCAACTCAGCATTTAAAACTTGATTAAGTTGGCTCTTTGGCATAACATCTGCACCTTGACGGACAATTTCTAATGCAGTAAGGATCTACAGAAAAAGATTGAGACTTTACTTCTTAGGTCGCATAAAACCTAATAAATATGAAGTAATCAGCAATAAGAAATCCAATTACTAATTTCATCATGGAAATGCTGACCCCAAAATCGGAGAGTATAAAATGGAAAGAAAGAAATCCATACACTTCCAAACATTTGGAGAAGTACAAGAGACGATAGTAATGTAACCGAAAAATTGACAAATAGTCCCCCATTTTTTGGGAGACTCTAGAAGTTTGTAGAAATGATAATCTACTGATGACCTAATTTGCCAATCTGCAAAAAGATAACAATGGAATAGACCTCTGATCGACATAGGATTACAAAGCATCAAGTAAGGGAACAAATATCCAATTAAAATCATCCCCTATAACACTTCTCACCAGAGATATAGATACCAATGGCTTGTTCCAAATCTCATCAAAGTATTTACCATGATAGAACTCAACCTCCCCTAATTCTGGTAGAATGTGCAAATGCATGCACATAGTTGCATCCAACTTGAATTTCTCAGTAATTTGCCTTGAAATTTTGCAATACCACCCTCTGCTCAACCATGACTAATTTTATAGATATTTGACTTCGACTGTTGATGATATTTAAATCAAAGTTCAAGAATATAAACACAAGGCCCTACACTAAACAACAATGCTTATAGTTTATATATCATCTTTAACAAAGACTGAATCGCCTCAATTATCCCAAAACAAAATCTTATCATCTAAATTACCCTAAAAATAAAAAGCATGCATCACCTTCAACAAAAAACCCGAAACATCAACATAAGTTGCCTCAAACAATTATACGATTTGAAGATGCAAGTATGCATTACACCAGAAATTATCATCATTACATGCTTATAAGAAAGGTCAAAGTACCGGAGCAGGAACAAGAGATTCATCCTGTATGCTCAACATCTGTCCAATTTTGAGTGCTGCTCCACGCATTCTGCACAATGCCAGAGCTAATCTTTCTGCATTCTTTTCGGACAAAAAGGGGGACAGCGCAGATTGATTGTCCTGTGAACTAGGTCTGCCATAGACAAGCCTCTTGGCAGATTCCTGAAGTGTTCCCCATGCAAGACCAGCTCCAAGTCCAGCAAACCTACAGTAATGCTTGATTTTTGAGCTAGGGTATAACAAAATTTTGCATCACAATTGCGTGCATCATATTCTCCCTAAAAGCCATGTATTATGACGTGAAAAAAAAAAGGAAATTTAAATTATATAAGGTGCAAGAGAGAAAAAAAAAAATATTTTCTCTTTCGATAAAAGATATGTTGGTCTATGACTGTACTAGAAAGCAACCAAAGCCCTTTTAAGCATTTGATGGGCTCTCTGAAGGCCTAATCCCTTCGTAGAGCAGCTTGGAGGGAAATGTCAATCAGACAGTTGTGTCTACTTGAAGGTGGGCTAGTCAGTGATTTAATGTCTCTGAAACAAGTGAAATGAAAGATGTACTTAGGGGAATCAAATGTTTATCATAACTCAATATAGTCTAGGGAGCATATTGATGCATATATCAGAAAACATCGGTGCAAGTGTCTAAATTGCTTAATATACAATTAAAATGGTACAATAAATGGTCCCAGAAGAATTTCCTCGATTCAAATTCAATCTATTTCGCTGAAACTTGCTAATCCTACTATTTAGTCAATCAATGTCAAAAGAGGAACTTGATTTACAACTTCCGTAACAAAAAATTGAAGTTGGATATATGAAAAAGAACAAACTAACCCCAGCGCCCTGGAAAATGAGGTTGAAGGAACTTTCCTCTCCCTGGGCGTCCGTCTTCTCAGAGGCGGCGCAATTGCCACTTCCCCTCTCGCACATTCATCGGCATTGGCTGTTTCACCCAGGGTCTGGGCCTCACTTTCCTTCCCCGGCGAACAATGTCTACCCTCATCGATGATTTTAGATGTCAAACATACATCTGCATCAACGGAGGCATCAGAAGCTTCACACGAACTCTTCACTTGGGAGCTAGTTCCATTATCAGCAACTGCGATCTTATCTTCGGCACGGAAATTGCCAGCATTATCACTGTTTGTTGCGGACGAGTCAGAAGGGTCAGTGAAATAAACAACGGAATCATTGGCGAGTTTGGAGTTAGAGGAGCCAGGGTTTGAGAATTGGCGAACCTTTCCCTTAGTAAGGCCGGAAAGGTCAGTGGCTGAAACCAGAGCTTTCTTGACTAGGGTTTCAAAATCTCCGGTTCTGGCAGACTTGAGAGGTGGGGAGCGTTTAACGAATTCCTTGGCGATCAAAGAGAGGCCATTGAAGACCCTGCCCAGGTCTTTCCACGGATTCATTCTACAATTCTCTATTTCTCTGGGGAGTTCTAATTTTAACAGGTGGATTTAACCTTGGGACAGAATCATCTCCGTCTGTCATCAATTGCCTTCGCCTAACATAAATTTAGCGGTTGGTTCCTATGAGTTATTACCGCAAAAATTTGGCGGTTAAATCCATGATCTGATATACGTGGGTGTTTTCATTTCCATGAAACTAGCGGGAAGACGTCATTGAAAGGCTTCTTGGGACCGGGATCATTGGAAGTCAATGGTAGGAAATGGCGGCAGCAAAATCGATTGTTGCCATGAATGAAAATACGTGACCAATTTTTCGTTTTTAATTACTGTTTGTTTTTGCCAACATCTTATCCTTTTTTTTTTTTAATGCAAGCCAAAATGATATTAAAAGGGAGTACGCTTACAAGCATATATTTAATATTTTGATTTTATGTATTCTTGACCAGTTTTTCTAACAAGTAGGCTCTTCAGATTCTCCTTCTTATGATGTAAGATCACGATCATCTCAACTAACAGCTTATTAGTATATAAAATTTTAATGTAATCATTAGTTTTAGAAAGTCTTCCAACTCTAAAATTATTAGATCTAATTTTTTTTGTAACAAGTTATTTTAGAAAGTAAACTTAATATGTTAGTATTTGAGAATGTTCTATCAACAATATTTTAATGTCATGATTTTCTGAATAGTTTTAAAATTAAATAACTAAAAATATGTTTTTTAAAATTATGATATCAAATTGAAACTACGAATAAAAATAAAGAAATAAAAGTATACTTTTATTTTAACTTTTAAATAAATAACCCCTCATTTTGCTGTCAAGGCTTAAAAACGGCTGAAGTATACGTACGCTCAAGAACTAAAAGATGCCTGGTTATTAACCCTAAATCGGCCATGTCAGAAACAACGGAGGTATTGGATCTGAATCGCGTGGCTGCTTTTTCTGTATCAAAACAGAAACAAAATTTAATTTTTACTAAAATATCATAAATAGTAAAAGAAAGTAATTAAATACTACATGATAAAAAATAAGAAAAATTGTAAATAAAGACCCTTTAATATGTACAATTGTGATTTGGGACTTTTAATTTGAAAAATAACAAATGAGGATCTGGGTTTCACTTTTATAAATATGAAATCGTAGTAAAATGTATAAAATACCCTTCAGTCAAATAACAAGTTGATTATGGACAATAACAAGTTTATTTTAGCGAATGATAATTTCAGTAGACTAAATCACAACTTAACTGAGGATATGCCAAACGACGAGTTGACTATAAGAAATGACAAATTCACCTTAACGAACGACAATTTCAATAGACCAAATCACAATTTCGCTAAGGCGTATTTCAGATATTCCACCCACATTTCACAGTTACAAAAGCGAGACCCGCTCTTTATTTGCTATTTTTCAAATTCAGCATCCCAAATTGTAAACAAAATTTACCCAGATGTTATACTAAAAATCATTTTTAGTAAGAACAAGTTTAAATTAAAAAAAAATTGTTGGTGCCGGGAATGAGTTTCAAACCTGACACGAATTATTTTAATGAAAAAATCAATCTTGTTACGAGCCCGGACGAGTTTTGCTGCACGGTATTCCGTTGACATCACAAGGTGGCCGGTTGAGCGAAAGAAGGACATGGAATGGGGGAAAAAATTCCACAATGTCACGCCTTTTTTTTTTTTTGTTCTCATCCAAATAATTATGAATCAATGTAAATAACTAAATACTTGGTTAATATTCGTTCATAGACACATAACATCTACGATTTCGGTGTAAATTATTTGTGGGAAGAAGTTTTGATCATAAATGTGACTCATTTGTGATATATTAAATACTTATTTCTAATTTTACTATTATTTAATTTTTACTAGAAAGACAAAAAAAAAAGATATGAGAACGATTAGTAAATAGAGAGGGAGAAAAAAAATTTAATAATGATAAATTTAAAATTTTTTATTAATTTAATGTATTATTGGATATGTTAAAAGATGTTACAAGTGACTTATATTAAAGTCTACAGTGATACATCATATGCCTTTATTTATGAGGAAGAAAGTATAAGAGAAAATAAGAAAATTGTTAAAATAAAGATAATGGTGTTTCAAAAAATTAAATAAAGATAAATAAATAAATAATAAACATTGAATATATCATAAATGAGATACATTTATGATCAAAGCTTCTCTCCACAGGTAATTTACATTTAACACGAATAGTAACCGAGTACTCATCCGGTGCTTAATATAGGACCCAATTCTTGAGTTGGTTTTGGTCCTAAATAGAAGACCTATTTCTTATATTTATTAATTTTCTCTAAATTACCCCTATAGATACTCCCTCAACCATAATCAAATAGAGGAGGGAGAGGAGGTATTAACAAAAATGATTATGGTCTTTTAGGAAAAATGTGTCACTTTTCTTATAATTAACTAACTTACCTAACTTCCTTAATCTAATCAAATTAGTTAGATGGGTCTTATATTAAAGACCGAAGGAGTACTTACATTGATTCATAAGATTATTAGCAAAAAGAATATCAAGATCAAGTATTTGTATTTATTTTTAATTTTGATTTAATTATTGTTCATAGGCATATACGTAAATACACTTATACACTCCATAAAAATCAAACATTTATCATGAGTTAGAGTGTAGAAGGCAATGAGGAAAAAAAAAAAGGAGTTACACTGTGCAGTTTTCCCCCACTCCATCTCCTTCTCCCACGTTCACTATCGTCACATGGAGCAACCACCGTGCAGCAAAACTCATTCAACTGAATGAGTTTGATTCTTTTTATTAAAGCAATATGTGTCAGATTTGAAACCCGTTCTTTGTAAATTTAAACTTGTTCTTACGAATAGTGATTTTTATTGTATAAATATTTTTTATCATGTGGTATTTAAGTAACTTCTCTTGCTGTTTACAGTATTTTGGTAAAAATACCCCCACGTAGCTCCTATCGGTGCAAAACTCGTAATGACGTACAGGAAGCGCAAGTTATTGACGAGTAAGAAACTTCTTCTCTATGGAGCCGTGACTTGCATGGGAAGGAATTGTGTTGGTGATGAAATAGTGAGAGACATTAGGACCCATTGAAAGAAAAAAATTATGCAAGCTGGTCATAATGCAGTTTTATTGTTTTAAAGACAACGGATCAGTTTTGCTCAACCCCGGGGGAAGAGCAATAGCTCTGGCCCTTAAACGGCAGCGTTTAAGGAAAGAGGAGGGAGTGGATTCACTGAGGATAAGGGGAACTCTAGTGTTAGATTCGTAGGAGCAACTGGGCAAGAGAACTTTTGTTTCGATTCCCAGTGGATTTTTGGTAGTTGATGTATGGTCATTTTCAATCGGTCCCTTAACCATTAAAATATTTTTTACTTGGCGTTCTAGATGATGTTCGTGACGAATAAAAACAAGAATATTATCGCGATTAATTATTTTTTAATGCACGGGAACAGAATGATTGCGATTAATTATATCATGCTTTGGATAAAATTAAATAGACAAGCGGTGCTTGTCGATTAAACTAAGTTTCCAAAAAATGTGCAAAAGACGTAATCAGTTGTCCTCTCAGCTGTTCAGCTTAACCAAATTATAGTTCTCCATCAGACCCGTCACCACGGTAGCGGGTAAAAAAATGGAGGAATGACGGTGACGGGCCAGCAGCAACTGTCGGGGGCCTTAAAACAATTGACAGTGCATATATTCTATTTAAAAAAACGAGAGCATTTATTATTACACTCGCATATATTTTAATTATATAGATTTATTTATATATATTTTAAAAGTATTAAATCCGACCAAAGCGATTATAAACACGAGCGGTCTTTTAAACAATGCCGTTAGAACCCCGAAATGGTAAACAAGGACTAAAGGACGAAAATGAATTCACTTTGCATATTCATGCATCTGCAATGCATAGAGACTTATGATGACACGGTCTTTTCAACTTACTGAAAACACAACGGTGTTCCTAGGTTGTTATGACCGGACAACTCTAATCTATTTCCCTCCGCTGCCTTTATTTTCATTCCCTTCTTCTTTCCCTTTTTTTCCTGTGGACTTTTTTGTTTCGTTTTGCATGTCTCGTTCATTCTCCTTTCTGCCTGAATTTGGTTCCTCTGATCCAAACGCGAAACAGTAAATCTTCACCTAATCCGGAAAAAAGAAATTGCTAAATCTCGAAGCGGGGGTAGGAGGGTCGCCTATCATAAGGGGCGCGGGCCCAATCCCTATCCTTCCTCGCAGACGCAGACATTATTTCTATTTATTATCTACGACTACTAGCCAATATACATATTACAGATGAGGCTGGACACTGAGTATTGTCAGTTCTGCTCATATTATAGTCACATCGGCATGGAGTGTTGCGTACAACAAATCTAATTCAGTCTCAATTAAATGATACTTGATCTTGCATTAATCGATTCCGCACAAGTTACATAATAAACCAAAATTAATTATGTATGAAACTGGTTTCTAAACACATATAGAGTATGTTGATTTGATGATACTGCTGTCGGCAAGTTCCTTTCGTCCACCAACCCCCCCCCCCCCCGGGAAGAATGAACGTCACAATGTTTTTGTCTTTCGCCTTAAAAAACGCTGCTATACAAACGGAAAGCTTAACGGCCCTCAATCAAACATTTTATAGTTTTTGTCATTTATTGTGGATATCCCGAAAACCAATTTCATAATTCCTCAAAAGATGTGGATTATGCAGCAGGTTCTACAAATTCGGTAAATCATTATGTCTTTTAATTTGTTTGGGCAACAGACAAATAAAGTCCTAAACTAAACGTATTGATTAATCACACTCTAGCATGCAGAGGAAGCCTCGTATTTTTTCGCACAGTAAAATGATACGTGTATTGATTTCCGTTTCCTGACATGGGTTCGTGTTCCAACCTTAATACCAGCAAAGGAATACAACAAGCTGCGGGAATAATATTTTAGAATTTGGAGGGGTAATTCCTTTGAATTTAAGTTGAAGAAAGGACACTTTGGGGTTCAACATCGCATCAATCTCATTCACTGTCAGTCTACTCACAGTGACCACTCCGTCTAGAAACGGTGCATTCCATATTATATTTAAGCGACGCTGCCCTCTCTGCTTTCCTCACCAGATACGGCCAACGCTCCAGAACCATGTCGCCAACAACCACCTTTTCAATATTGCTCATCCTCAGCAATGCCATCTCCATGGCTTTCGCTTCTGATCCAGACTTACTTCAGGACTTATGCGTCGCTCTTCCCTCTTCAGGTAAGTATATACGATGCCCAATCTGACAAACATATCTTTGCTTTCCTGTGTGCTTATATATAACACGTAAGTAACTGTTGTAGGAAACGAATCAGAAAATTGAAACTGTCTGACCTTGTTATATGAACTGTGCAGGAGTGAAGGTGAACGGGTACGCATGCAAGGATGAGGCCAGCGTGACAGCAGATGATTTCTTCTTCACTGGGTTAGCGAAGCCATCGGTGATACTTGATAACAACACTGCCGGGCTTGCCGTGAAACTAGCCACGGTGGATCAAATTCCAGGGCTCAACACATTAGGGGTATCTATGGCCAGGGCGGATTATCGAGTTGGAGGGTTGACCGCGCCTCACACTCACCCACGAGCCACTGAGATGGTGTTTGTGTTGGAGGGAGAATTGCAGGCGGGATTTATCATCACCTCCACCAAGCATTTCACTAAGACCATTAAGAAAGGCGAAGTATTTGTGTTCCCAAAGGGTTCGCTTCATTATCTGAAGAACATCGGGAAGACGCCCGCTTCTCATCTTGTAGCCTTCAACAGTCAAAATCCGGGAGCATTGTTCATAGAGCCAGCTCTGTTCAGTGCTACGCCAAGTGTGCCTGATGATGTGCTCGCCAAGACGTTCCAGATTAGCGTTGAAGAGGTTGAACAGATCAAGAACCCCAAGAAGTAGGTCTGATTAAATAGAGCCTATCTCATGTTGGAGAAAGAGAATGTCGTCATTTGGCGTTATAATCTTGCTTTCCTTTTCTTTCTTTGCTTTCTTTTTTCCCCGTTAGAGAGAGATCACGATGGTTCTGGGGCAATTCTTTGGGCAAATATCGTTGTTGCAGGTGTATATGATGGTGATCACTGCTCTACAATAACTGTGCACGTTGGATATTCGGAAGTGACATTTTTTTTTTCCTGAAATAATGTTTCAATTAATCCTTTCCTTTAACAGCCTGAACTAAATATGTATTTCAGTCTAACAAGGACAAAATACGCAAGGTGTGTTTAGCCATCGAGGAGTTTCCCCTCAAACAACCAATTAAATAAATTACGCGGGGACACATGAATTAAAGAAATATACATTCAGGTCAACAGTAGTGGAGCCTCCAGATTAAGCAGACATAAAATTATTTTGTTCGAAAGCTTGAGGACGGCCATTTATGAATCCATCACTCAGCAGTCAGCACGTCAAAGAGTTCGTTGATATAAAATAGGCAGTGTGAACTGAGAAGGCAAATCAAGATTCATAATACAAGTTCGATCAGAACCTAGCGATTAACAAACATAGAAACCCTCTGTAATCCTCTTAATTAACAATATGATAAAGTAAATCAATGCTTGCCTCAAACCCATGGATATGTATGAAAATTTTAATTATCCATCCATACCGGCCTCCCTCTTTCACCAATTAATGGTAAAAATAGCATGATGCATCCACTTTGATCAGGCTACGTATGAAATTATGAATCAAGCACTGTTGAATTTAACGATATTGGAAATATCAAATCAAATCATTATTCTGCGGTGGGAGAAGACGAATTGCAAAGCCAGGATTGGGCCGTAAGGGTTGGGCCCATTTTAACGTGGCAGAGTTTGGCCTGCCAAAGAGTTAATTCGTCTATTATTGGGCTTTGTATATCGGGGGCCGTGTTTGTATTACACGCCACGTCATTGATAATTTGAGATGGAGACGGGGCCATGGGCGTATGCGTGTCTTCTCTCGACACGCAGATGATGGCGATGGGGAATCCTGGAAAACTACAGCCGTAACAACTTTTGGTTTGATTTCGACTGTTGAATACCACATCAGCATGCATATTTTCGGGACAATAAAACAGATAGATAAATAAGAGAAACAACCTGGATGGCGAGTTTTTTGTTTTCGGGAGATAATGCGTGACATTTTTATGGCCGTGCCATCAGCGAGCTAAGAAAACAAGAAAGCATATGGCAGCTTAATTAGCAGCTTTTAAGATCCCTCCCCCCCCCCCCCAAAAAAAAACCCCCAAACAATCTTGCCTCCACTCTTTAATATACAAGTTAATTGACTAATTTGAGCATATTAAAAAAACTAATTAAGTTAATTATTTATAATAAATGAATTTTTTTAAAATATCTTTATTAATTAAGTGTATTTGTTAGAATGACTGTTATTACAAAAATTATCTTAAAAAGAACAGATAAATATGAGAGACAAAATAAATTGGGTTCTTATATTTAGAACTAAAATACAAATAAGATGAGTTCTTATATTAACAACCAGGTAGTATCACGTTTCAAATAAATATACGTACATAGGTACGTAAGCTAAGTAAATATCCATGTAGCCGCCGTGTATTATATTACTAGTTTAGTCTTTGGCTCAAGGGGAAATTATATTTAACTACTCGACATATTTTCTGCATGCATATGATAGAACTTCAATAAAGTTTTAAAGGTATTTGTTCTGTGCGTTCGCATCATCGTCCAGAGTACATTATGAATTTATGCATGCGACCGAACTCACATTGATGAAGTAGTACTGCATATATATATATATATTGATTAATTAATAAGTATATAGTATAAACTAATTAAAGTTATTACAGCGGTGTACGTATAGAAGCAAAACGAGACAACTAAAATGGATGCCGTTGCATTATCATTCCCATGACGCCTCGCCAAGAAGCGATCGACCAATTACGAAACCTAACTGCTAAAACTGTTTGAGGCTTAAGGATGTTTTCGATTGGTTTTCGTCCGGCTTCACGGCTTTTGGGGTGGGACCAACATGCCATGACTATGAACCAATGCAAATCCTTTTGGAAGTCTTCTTGTACCTTTTTGTCTATATAAACACACCCTGAGTGTACATTGTCTTCACAGCAGAAAGACGCAGAACGCATCCTCGTCTCATTCATAAGCAAGCATCTTTTGCCTCTTCATCTTTCAAAACATTTTCTTCACTGGAGTTACTGCTTGGTACGTTTTAATTTATATGCTTCAGCATCAATTATATAATGTATCACATCAAAAGCAGATGCGGCCTATGTTAATTTTGCTGAATATATATTATCCGAGTTTGTCTTGTTGATAATTTGCATGTGCGAGTTTTAAACATATGTAGACGTATGTACTTAACAAGACACATCATTAATCTGTGAAAGAGTAAAGTTATGACTTATGTGGTGGTGAACAGGAGTAAAGCAATGGAGTGGACAAAGTGTCTTAATCTGAGAAACTTGGTTCTGATGGCACTTGTGGTGGCGTTAGCTGTTGAACACGCTAGCTGCGAGAGTGGTCAATCAAGCAGCAGCAGACTAGTTGGTGATAGTGGCTTCGTTCAGCGAAATGGAACTCATTTTGTGTTGAATGGGAAACCACTCTACTTGAACGGATTCAACTCCTACTGGTTAATGTACATGGCATCCGATCCATCCACAAGCTCCAAGGTCCCTACGACCCTCCAACAAGCTTCTCAACACGGTTTAAACGTCGCAAGAACCTGGGCTTTCAGCGACGGGGGTTACAGGTCGCTCCAGGTTTCTCCAGGCTCCTATGACGAGAACGTGTTCAGGGTATGTGTACGTGTGTATTGCATGCGTATCAATTCGTTCATTTTCTTTATTGTTTTGAGTTTCGGGTTGCTTAAACGATCAATCCATGTTTTTTGGTGAATGGGCGTGTAGGGACTGGATTTCGTGGTGTCGGAAGCTGGAAAATATGGGGTGCGACTGATACTGACCTTAGTGAACAACTGGAGCGATTTTGGAGGCAAATCTCAGTATATCCAATGGGCGAGGGAGCGTGGCCAGAACATCAACAACGACGACGACTTCTTCACACACCCTGTCATCAAGCAGTACTACAAGAACCATATTCAGGTATGTGGGGGCCACATCCATCGTATAATTTAACTAACTACTTGGACATTCTCGACCCGGATAGTGAACTCTTTATGCTTAAATCGCAGGCTGTGCTGACGAGAAATAACACGATAACTGGAGTGGCATATAAGGATGATCCCGCCATATTCGCGTGGGAACTTATGAACGAACCTCGTTCTCAGTACGATAACTCTGGGAAAACAATTCAGGTTTGTTTCTCTCAGGCTCGTTTTAACATATAATGTTCCATGCGCAACGGCTTATAATGTTGCTCCCCATTCGCAGGATTGGGTGAGTGAGATGGCAGCCTACGTTAAGTCCGTCGATGGGAATCATTTACTGGACGTGGGGCTTGAAGGGTTTTACGGAGAAACAATGCCGGAAAGGAAGCAGATTAATCCCGGATACGGAGTTGGAACTGATTTTATCTCCAACAACCAAGTCCCTGAAATCGATTTTACCACCATTCATCTCTATCCAGATCAATGGTAAGTCACTATGCTCCTCTGACCAAAAAAAAAAGTCAGTATGCTCCGATACGCTTCTCTCGTACACTTTTTCGGGTCCAATCATCTTAAAGAGAACCTGTGGATGCAGGGTGGGAGGCTCGGACGACGCGGCCCAATCTGAATTCGTTGACAAATGGGTCGAAGCTCACATAGAAGACTCTGATAAAGTAATAGGGAAGCCCATTCTTCTGAGCGAGTTTGGCACATCTTCAAGGTCATCGGGCTATAGCGTGGATAAGAGGAACAGCTACTTCGAGAAGTTGTACGGTCTAATATACAAAAGCGCGAGTAGTGGGGGGTCATGTGGAGGTGGGCTTTTCTGGCAGGTTATGGCCCAAGGAATGGATGGCTTCCGAGACGGCTATGAAGTTGTCTTCGAGGAGCGACCTTCAACCATCAGCGTCATTGAACAACAATCTCACAAGATGTCGTCTCTTGCCTAGCACTAAATCCTTTCTCCTGTAAAATAAAGTCTTGTAAAAGTAAGACTATCACCGTCAGACACTGCTGCGGCTCATGCCTATGCAACGAGGGACATGAGAGAGTGATGCAGGAACTGATAATGTTACCAAAGAACAGGTTACAATAAAGTGATTTACCCATTTCTCATTATATGACAACCCCCAAGAATCCATCGTCAGCACGCATGTATCATTAAGTCGACAATATTGAAATCTGCAATAAAAGAATTATAACAGATTCAAACTCACTTTAACTATCTAAAGGATATAGATTGTTATTGCGAGAATTGTATTATTTTGTCGAAGGAAAAGTGGCCTTCGCCTCGAAGTTACAAAGACAGCAGACCAACACATAAATGGATCTCATGAGACGATTGTTTGAGACAATTTTCTATTAGAAGTTCCACATTCTTAAAAAAATTCAATCGCTTTATAGGGCAACCTTAGATTGCTGCTACTTTCTCCGGGAAAACCTCGCCAATTAGTAATTTTCATACAAATAACTACACTGGGATCGTAGGCTCAAACCCTATGAAATAAGTTTACAGAAGCAACAAATGAATTATATTACATGGCCCCAGATACTACGACGAACACTATTTTCCTAATCCACCAGCACCTTATGCCAACGCTCGAATGTAAGAGGAAACATCACACCACAAATTAATAATACATTCGAGCCTCGTAGCATAGTGTCGCGGCCGGCTTCTCATTAGAGGATATTCTTCTACCGACACTGATAGCATGCGTCAGCTACACGTAGAGGACGATGTGGAAAAAGTTTCAGGGAGGGAAAGACGTGAATTGACAGGATCCTCTGAAGTGGCCTTAATTAAAGCGAAGGAAAGGGAAGAGAGAGGCGATCCCACCATCCACCTGGGTAGAAGTAGGATCTATCTACCCCTCTGTCGTTTTCTCCTCACCATCCACACGTGTTCAGGGTAAAAATGATAACAAACATCAACCGTGCATCGATGTAATTAAGAGGAGACCAACATTATTTATCAATTCTGAGATTGTTACATAGATGGCCAAGCTCAGGTCTTGCGTTCATCCACGCAGCAAACCCCGTTTCGTCAGGAGAAGTGCAGTGCAGATAGGATCTAAACGTAATGAGGAAAAAGTACCGCCTGCAAAATGAAGGAGGAAGCAGAGGAGTTGTTATACAACAAAACACACGGGCTACGCTTACTAGTGTAATTGCTACTGACATCCGTAAGGAGTGGATTCACAGTTAAAATGGAAGTATTGTCGGAAAAACATCTGAATTCAATAAACAAATCTAAGCTAAAAAGCTACGAATAAAAGGGTAGCCAAAATTTTACCTCAAAGCCTTGATACCCATGTCCACAAGATACGCACGTTCCTCATCATCAGCATCAGCGAACTCCTCAAATTTTCTACTGTAATAAAGAATGTCATCTCGTAGATGCCCTGCGCCAGCACATCTGTTGAGCAGAAGAAGAAACAAGCTCAGTCTTAAAAATTTTTTCCCCCAGTAAATTACAGGCGGAAAAACTCACAAGTTTTTTGACATTAAATCACTCCTCAATTTTTAGAATATACTGACTTCAATAAAACAAAAGAACTACTCCCCACTCTTGTCCAATTTAAATTTTGCAGTCAGAATACCCTTTTAATCTTTTTAATTACAAAAAAATGTATATAGCTTTTTGGGCAATAACGGAGAGCATTTTGATAAAAACAAATTAATTGGACTAAAGTGGAAGATAGTTTTGTCTTAAAAATATTTTCTTTAATAAGAATGGAGATAAATAAGAATTGCAGCTATGCTGCCTCATCAGAGTCCATATAAGCTTGTTTGGGTTAGCGTAGCAAAATTGATTTTGCAACTTACGATCCAAAACTATTGTCGCATTATTTTGGTCAAAATGTGCCAATGGATTTCCAAACACAAAGGTCATAGCATATAGCATAGTTTTAAACACAAGCCTAAGTTAATCACCTTTCAACAACAATGTCGACATCTGCTTTGCTTTGAGGACCATATATAAGGACTCTCGTAAGGTTTAAGATGTCCCTGTAGTCACCCATCCTGAGTGCTTCTTCGTTAGAAGCTCGAGAGGTCATATTCTTTTCAGCCTCTGGAGATATGGCCAGCCGAAGCAATGGTTGCAGAATTTTGGATGCAAAGTTTGCCTCTGCACCAATCTTAATACACATAATGGCCATTGCATATGCGACTCCACCAAAACCTGTGTGTGATATGAAAAGGTAACTTCCTGCAGAACTGTAACAAAAAAAGGAAGTATTTAGAATTTATCATTTCCACCCGAGAAGAAATTTGCATTAACCATTGGTTGGACACCCAAAAAAAAAAAAAAATCCAGAGAGCATGTGCTCGTAAATAGCATATAGCACTAGCTGCCACAAGGAGATGCATGTGTTACTTAAGTCAACAGAATTTAGGACGGACAACATATCGTGCTTTTTGGGTCAGGGAAGCCCCCGGAAAAAACACCAATTACATGTTAACTCCCGGCTTCATGCTCCTAGGTACATATAGTTTAACATCTGCAGGATACTTGTCTCAAAAATGCTGCATAATTCCAAGAGTCACGCGGATATACTTACTCATCTTTACAGTACTGGATTGCATCAACGTCAGAGGCCAAAGCATCTCTCTCTCTTGTTAGTGGTATCCTCCGATAGACAATATCATATCCTTCATCTTTCAGGGCAGAATAAACTTCTGCAGGTGTCTTCACATCATCTGCCAAAATGTTTTCCCAGTATCCAACGACATCAGACTGATTTGTTGAAGGGTTATATTCTTCACGATGCAGTAACATTCGTCCACCAGACTGTCTAACCTCAGCAAGTATATCTTCTTTTAGACGTGCCTCCAAGTGTTCCACCTACATAGCAGTTACCATGAGTTGTGTAACACAAAGGATTTTGTTACGTGTTCCAAGAGACATATTAATTGTTGAAGAAGACACACCACAGGACCAGTGATGCCCACATGCTTGAGTGTATCAACAGGTTTGTTTAACTCCCTCAAGACAAAAGGAGTACCATTGATATATACAACAGCTTCCTCTCTCAGATCAGTCAATATCATTTTCCGAGAAACTGAATTGTCTGCTCTACACTTAGCTCCTAGATATGCTAGTATCTCCTTGGCACCAGAAATGGTTGGAGTTGCCATGCTATACACAGGGTATTCATCAACCTGAAGGATATTAAGATTTAGCACAATGACATTTCACAAAATTATGTATCCAGCAATAATAATGTGAAATTTCAATTGAATTGCTGTGAAAAAAGAAAAATAAGAACATACAAATGCATGGTTTGCAAACAACCAAAAAAAAAGTTGTCAAGAGTTCTTCATGAGAAAATCCTCAAGGCAATGGCAATATGTGTACTTGATGTACATTTTCTTGTTTGGCTTATTTGCTGGTTTTATTTTCATACCTTCATAATCAAATTAATATATTTAAGGAAAAATCAATTGCTTTTCTAGAAACCAGCATAATAAATACCGGTACACTTTACACTAAGCAAATCGTAGAAGCAACTACATCAACAACAGAATTGCCAGATTCTATAGCTTGTCTTCTCCTAGTTAGTTTCTCTACTAGTTATGTCTTAGACGTTTGCTAAGCTAACAAATTCCTAGAATGGTTTCATCCCTATGTTCATTGAGAATAAACTTAGGCGATAAAACATATTAAAGACCCTAATTCTACCCACACTTGGATGATCCAGTAGGTCCCCGCTGGATGTGTAGCCTTATTGTCGGACAACACAAATTTGATGATTGTCCGCGCACACACGCGGGCATACCTTGTAAACATGAGGTGCACCATTTATTTGCATGTGACTGGAAATTCTCTGACCGGGAAAGAAATACATTTTCAGTATGGAGCCTTTCCCCAGTACAGAACCATTTCGAGCCTTAACAACTTCCTCCATCACCATATCTCCATGCTGAGACTCTTCAGGTGCTCTCAATTCTTCCTGCATTTCAAATTGAGCAATCCTACTTTTAGTGTTTTCCCTCCTTTTTGAAGGAAGGTGAATAATAACTAAAAGGGTAAAAAAGACTTACAGGCACACTGAAAAATCGCCCGGGTCTCACTCTAATGCTCCATTTCATAGCCTGCACCTCTGGCCTCTGATGCAGCCAATTCTTAAATGTAATTTTTAAGTCTCCTTGCCCACAAGATCCATCAAATGCTTCACTTCCAAGATATGCTGCAAAAGCAATCAGGCGGAAATACCGCTCTAAATACTCAGCACCACGGTTTAAAGCCACTCTCCTCACTCTAGGCTCAACATGCTGTTGATTAAAAACTTTTCCATACTGTAGAACAGCCTGGCGTATGTTTTGAAGGGCAGAACATCTATCAATAACAGCATCCAAAGCCCCTCGGCATTCCACCCCATTATCAAATAATGCCGTTATCTTCCATAACAAGAGGATGTCATTTATGCCAAAAACACGCTTTTGTTTATCATCTGATTTTACTTGCCAAGTACTAGAGGGTAACACAGTGGCATTACCCTCAGTTTCATCTCCACTTGAGGCATCGCCATGTACTTCATGTGTTGCATCACCCAGGATTTTGATGGGCCTCCCATGATCAATTCGTAGTTTTACAAGACAAGCTATAACGGTGCCAGTGGTTGTCCTGCCCCTACCCATCTGGTTTTCATGACAAATAAGCAGCAAATTATGAAAATGAAAAAAAAAAATTTTAAAAATACTAATACAAGAAAGACAAAGCGAACAAAGAGGGTACAGCATATTGGATAAAGGATTGAAATGTTACCTGACAATTGAAAACAAATGCAGTGTCCTTTGGAGAGGAAGCGATATTAGCAGTCATTGTGTCAAAGTCAGAACTTTTAGGAGCTTTTCCATCAGTAATGGGCACGCGGGCATACTTAATGGGAAATCCATCAGCCTCCAAGCTTTTAAAGACTTCAAGCGGTGTTTGAATTGCATCGGGGGTGACATGTTCCCAGGCATCAAATATCTCCCCTTCATCTGTTTCATGAATAACCAGTATGGCACTTCCATACTTGTCTGCTTCCCTTAGAATGTCTTCTTTTAACCGCGCTTCCATTTTCTCAACTCGTTCACGGCCAATTCCCTGAAAGTTTTGAAAAAAATGTTCAAATCACTGACATACACATTTGAGGATAATATCCCTTGTCATGGAATTCAAAAAGGCATCTCAAATTCAACACATTGAATACGCTACATGTATGATTTTATAGATTTTTAAAATACTTTCCACCTTAAAAAAAGTTAAGGAGCTTGGCTCCAGCTGATGTGGACCAACCTTAAAGGTTCAAATTGTATTCAATTTGACCTTGAAAATCAATGCAGCAATACCTACAACAGATACTACATCTTAAAGGTCTTATTACCATCCTTAGGTTTCAAGGGAAAGGGGAAACAACATATCAAAGCCATAGCATAAAACAGCAGCATTTCATAAACTTGCAATCTCCATGTCCGTGGCATTCTAGACAAGGATTCATATGCTTTATAATAGACATTGACTCGCAGAAATCTTAAGAACATGCTACTTCCCAATAAGACCAAAAATAGTATCAGCCGATTACAAGAAGAATCGGTATATGCTTCCTACTGACATACCAGGAGAAATTCACACCTTAAAAATCAAAATAGTATCTAGTTTTACTAGATGGCAAAGCAGATGAATGCAGAAAATTCAATATTTCAGCATCAAAGTCAAATTTGCACTAGAACCAATCCCCCTAACCCAACTTTATTCCAAAAAACATGGAAACAAAACCATTTTTACCGTGTACTCCAGCATATTTTTGTATGGTCTTTCAACCTCACGGAGGACAAATGGTTTCCCGTTGATGTAAATAACAGGTTCTTCTCTCATATTATGCCAAAGTACTGGGCGTCCACCTTTAGAGCTACCAGTCCTCCGAATGACAGATCGAATACCATCAATAGTAGGATTGGCCACTCCATAAACTGGAAGTCCTGGAACTTCCCTGAAATTCGGTGCTCCCTCCACTCTCTCAGGCAGACTTGGGTTTTGACAGCCAGGACAGTGATCACTTTTCAGAACAGTTTGACTACCAAGAACCTCACCAGTTCTTAAGGCAGCAACCAGACCAATCTCAGAAGGGCGGCCATCAGCAGATTCAGCTATCTTCTTCAGAGATGGCTTCAAACTGGAATATCCAAGTGCGCCCATTGGATCCCTCCTGAGCAACCTGCCATGCCGAAAACAAGATTAAAAATGTGTTACCTGTCCAATGTCAACAGTCACGAGAGTTAGCAGTTTATCAATACAATTAAATCAGCAATCCAATTGATATGCCAAAAACCATACTGTGAGAATAATATATTTCACAGCTTTTGTTCACCATTAGCAAAGAGAAACTCCAAATTCTAATAATAACTGACATCCCCTAGGAGGACAAATCGCCGGCGCCTAGTTGATTGGAGCCAACACACTTAGAAATAAACTTCACTACAAGAAGCTAATGGCAATATGGGAACCATGGTATCACATAAACGACCAAGACTATGAAGAACTTCTTGAAGGAATACTTTTGAATCTAAAAGCAACAGTGACACCAATGAACCATTCACCTCCAAAACCAAGGCCCATGGGGCAGTTATGGCCTCAGCCTTTTAGGGAGACTGAGGGAGGAAATTATGCCTCAAAGTAGCAGCCACCTCTGTCGCAGTAATGCATTGCAGCTAGTCATTGCTAGTTATACCCATGCTCAGCAGGTTTGGGACCACAGACTAAAAGAAGAGTAATGAAGAGCAAAAAACAAGACTTCACAATTTTTAGTAGTTTTACCGGCGAATAATACTGTATAGTTCTGGCCTAGCTCTCATCCAGTCAGCAAAGCTGCTGTGATCAGCAGAACTAGAACGGACTGCAGGCCTTTCTGAATGAACGTATACAGCAAAACATATTAGAAAGTAGTATCTCTCCAAGTACTCTACAAAAAAAGAGAGTGACGCTGCCCTCTTCATTTCATCTGGCTGTCGCAGAATGTTATTGCGGTAGGTAGCAATTGCCTCACGCAAGTTCTGAAATACAATCAAAACAAGGATTTTATGCAAACAATGAAATCCAAACCCTCAAGACACATGGAACGAAATTTATAAAAGAAAACAGGGCAAAGAAAAACCTAAAAATTATTTCAGAGAAATACAGTTTTAGAGTCATAAGGTACAGATACCTGCATTGAAGCACACTTGTCAATAACTTTGTCTACTTGTCTTTTCCCCTCAACACCACCCTGGAAGCATGGGAAACATTAGGAAAGATATGACTTCCGGGGCTTTCAAAAGTAATAAAGTTGATACCAATACCTCTAACACCCTACACAAGCTTCTTATAACTGCATATTCTCCCCTGCGAATTGCCTCATCTGAGTTAGGCATGCGGTCAGCAACATCAATGGTGCACAAAGAAACTCTACCAATTGAATTGCTTCGAGGAAGACCTATGATATATAATATTTTGTCAATGTCATAGCTTTCAACCAGCATTTCCTGTTGTTTAACCTAGATCAGATAGCCAAGGCGTCTGGTAATGGAAATTGTATCATGTTGAGCATATGTTCAACTTTCTTTCCAAGCACTGGTCCCCACTTAGTCAAACAAGGGTTATTCGATGTAGACAATATCAATCCCAAATCCATAGAAAAGCAAAGTACCACTCCCTTTTATAAATAAACTACCTGATTGACAATTCTCAGGCGAACTATGAAAAGGTTACCCAAAAAAAAAAAGGGCACAAGTTAGAAAAGTAGAAAAAATTACAGAGGAAGGAGTACCAGAGTCTCCAATTCGATTAAGGTAAATCAGAGTTGCAATGACCATTCCAGTTGTAGTTCGTCCACGCCCCATTTGACAATTAAAAATTATCTCTGTGTTTACATCAGCCTGAGAAATTTTGTGAACCTAAAATCACAATGAAAAGTAGCTAAGGCACATGAAAACACCACGGTTTCAAGAAATTGAGAATGATTTTTCTTTGTCAATGCTTTTTGTACCAGAACTAAGGTCTTAAGAATCTGTGCTATATTTGGATGAACGGAAAGTAAAGAGAAGAAAGTCCAAGGAACAATATCTAAGAATTCAAGATGAAGAGAAAAAATGAGAATGCTTTTAGAATTTTATTCGTATTTTCTTTCTCGCTTTACTTTCTAAGTTCATCCAAACAAGGAGAATCTTTTTAACTCTTCCAAAATTTTCTTTCCCCTCTATTTTCTTTCCTTTGGCCCAAACGCCTACCAAGAATTGTTTATCAGCAGGTCTCTCACAAAGTAACAAAAAAGTAGGCCACATCACTCAACCCTTGGATTGTACCAAAAGAACATATTCAATTAATGATGTTAATATATGACAGAGCATCATAGATAGAGTGAAAGAATAATCAATCACACCCAAACAAATAATTTCTGCATGAAAACTCACTAAAGCATCAAAATCCATCTCTTCTGGTGATTTTTCATCTGTTATAGGAACACGTTCATAATCAACTAGGTATCCTTCCATTTGCAATTCCTTATACACCTACAGCAAAGAAAACAGGTTCGATGAAGTCCATTAAGACAAACTGACAGAGTAACCTCAAGCACCCAAAATAAACAAGTTCCACCTATACCTCAAGTGGTGTCTTCACAGAATTACATGACACTGGTTCCCACTGGTCTACCATATGACCATCTGGCAGTTCATCAGTTACAAGGATCTTATTTCCATATCTATCATGTCAAGGTGCAGTTAAGTGTGGGCATCAGGCATGGAGGATTTGCTAATAAAAAAGATGAATTGCATGTGACAGACAGGAAAACCACATACCTTGCAGCTTCCAACAGGATGTCTTCCTTCAAACGATCTTCCATTTGCTCAGCCCTTTCCCTATCGATACCCTAGTTCAGTTTTAAAAAAAACAAAAAAAAAGCCAGAAGAAGTTAAAAAGGCAAAGCCATTTCAACTGTACCATAAGTGAACTGAATATAACCCAAAGAAGATAATCCCCTGTGGTAAAAGTTACATTAGGTAGATAGCCAACATAAAATCTAGCCATTCCACATAAACATAGGCCATTAAGCAAAACGAACACAACAAGTTAGAGCATTAAGATTTTTAAAACAACATACCGTGTACTCAAGGTTGGTGAATGGTTTCTCCACATCACGCAGAACAAAGGGGCGTCCATTAATGTACACAACCTGATTGCAAGGAAAGGAGAAAGAAGTGAAATTTTAGAAAAGATGCTAAGGGTGTTCTTTGGAGAATAGCCAAATCAAACAATGGGAGTTTAATCAAATAGAACGTCAAAAGCTAAAAACCACAGAGAATGACATGGAAATGATGCAGAAAGGTTCTACTGGCCTCGTTGGAAAAAGACAAGGGAAAGAAAAACTGAAAAATTGGGGGGGGGGGGGGGAATACAATTAGCTACACTTTACTAGATGATCGGACCGAGAATCAACTAATGCATGACAACATGTATGACCATGTTGTTGGACCAAACAAGCAAATTGAGTTGTTAAAGTCACCAGCAAACGGACGTACCGGTTCCTCACGAAGATTAAACCAAATAACTCGTGCTTTTCTCCCCCCACTTTGCGCACCAATATGCTTGAGAACATTTTGAATACCCTCAATTGTTGGGATAGCAACACCGTGAACATGTAAGGAGTCGGCCTAGCAACAGTAATCATTAAAGGAAGAAAAAGATGTCAAGAAGGTGAGAAAATGCAACCCAATTTAGCAAGACAAGATGAATAAGCGTCTCATATTCGAGGGCGCCAATAATAAGTAGATTCCACCACACAGATGGTGCTTCTTGGTGAGGTGATTCGGACCTAAAAATTATAAACTGAAGACCAGGTTTCCCTCGTATCAGAAATGCTGTAAACAAAAGTTGAAACTCTGCTCTTAATATGGTCGTAAATGACTCTTCACAGTTCACAGCAATGAGAAAAAGAAACAAAGCTTGGGTTTCCAACTAAGACAAGAGCAGGTAAAATAATAGTCATAAAATTTAATTGAAGACGCAATAAATTCTTTGCAGAATTAAACCTGCCTGGACAAGTTAGTCCAGCTAAGGCCAATGAACACGCATGCTATAAGCGGAAGCAAGCAAGACCAATGTGAATGATGTTAAATACCTGACGATAATTGGGAGCGCCTTCAATCTGTGGAGACAAGCGTTTGTTCTGGCAACCTGGAAAATGGTCACTCTTCAAAATGGTCTTCTTCCCGAGGACTGATCCTCCTCTGCACTTCATCACCTGATCCAGCTCTTTCTGTAACGACATATTTTCACTCCTCTAAACTTTTCACAACTCTGCTGGCGCTCACTCTATTCCACACACCGAACCCAAACAGGCGCGCACTCGTACCAAACCCGTGAAGTTTTTTTTTTTTTTTTTGTGGGAGCTCAAATTTTCCGCAGTTAGTTTCGTTAAGCAAAATGTTATGAGCTCACCGCAACAGAAATGTAGAATGAAAGAAAATCTCAGAATTGGGCTAAATAAAATGGCTAGTCACATCATTCGAACGTACAGGTGAATTCTTTTCTCCTGCTGTCCCGCTTCTCACAAGGCTTAAATAAGTGGATTTTCCCTTTCTCTTCTTCCCTTTGATTTTCCCAGAAAACTCCTGATTTGTATTACTGCTGAACAACTAGTGAGTCGTCTTCTTTATACTTTTTTCGATGCTTTCAATCCCTCGTCCCCGGATCCTGACAGTACGACGTGAAATGCGTGTAGTATGTGATAAAATTTCGAATCTTTATTCGTTCTATAAGTCTGTTTGCCCTTTTTGCTTTACAATTAGTTTATTGTATTACTTTATAGTTTATACATTGCAGCATATCACTGGTTTGCCTTTAATTTTAAACCGCGTACGCAGCGAATAGTCTTTTGTGACAAAATGGCTTCGTCTGCGAGATGCCCAACTGCCCATCAACAGTGGCCCCATACCGTTTAATTACTGGCAATTATCCTCTCCGACCGTTCTGTATGCTGCGGAATAATATACTGCTCGGCAAAGATCGATGTAATGTATGAATAATCCATAATCCTACCATCATCAGACCTGCGCTTGCTCGTAGAAGAAGAAGAAACAAGAAAACGATGGGCAGAGAAACTTTGAGCAGGGAAAATAGAAGTATATATGATATTCGGGTTTATTGGGGCTCGCAATCATTTTTACAGGGCCCAATTCCTCCCACGCTGGTCATTGTACCTCTCATGTCTGCGAATTCTTGGCCAAGTGCGAGTGGCTACTCACTGTACGATTTTCCAAGCAAGATGTGGTGCTCTTACAAAATTGATATTTTTACCTCAATAGTCATTGTTTCATTTAACGATCTTATTCCTTAAAACTACTTTTCTGCGTGCAATTTTTTTAATTAACATTTTTCAATTTTTAATACTACTTCAGATCTTTAATATAAGATTTAGTTAACTAATTTAAAAAAATTAAAAAAATTAGTTAAATTAGTTATTTGTTATAAATAGGTATCGTCTCTCCTAAAATACATTTATTAATTATATATATTAGTTATAATTACTATTTGATGAAATATTTAACATACGTAATTACTACGATAGTTATTTAAAAAAATAAATAAATATAAAAAATAAAATAATTAAAATTAAATTAAAAATAAACTCTCTTGATGAAAAAAAACGTAGCTAATACCATGAAAGCTCTATTGTCAAAATTATGAGGCTATGTGAAAATATAAATGGCACGTCTGATATTGCAGAGGAGAAAAGTTGTTGATGTGATAATGCCCGTCGTCGTCAATCACCATCAAGCATCAATTATGCTTTTATTGGACAGAACCATATGCGTCTGTTTCTTCTGACCGAATCATATGCCATTTTGCGTTTAATGCTGCATCTCAATTGTTTTTTAATCTCAACCACTATGCCTCTTGCTGCTGCGCGACAATCACGTGCTTGAGTGGCGGTGTCGCTGCAAGTCTGCGGGAAGATACAGAGTCCCTGTTTCACAATGAGGGAATGTTGTTCACACTGGTTGGGGTGTTCTTGGAATGCTCACGAGGCTAGCATCCTTTCCTGTTTTGACCGCATCTTTTTTGTTTTTGTTTTGGGCTAAGAATGACGGCAATTCGGAATGCTTACGAGGAGGAGAGAGCTTCGTTGAAAATCTGAAACCTTCTTGTTTGATCCGCCATCTTGACGTAAGAAAATCACGGATGTTGTTTCTTGTATTGCACTCCTTGATGCTTCATGTTAGCTGCAACTCCGATCTGATTGCCCTGATGAAATAATTTGTTTAGAACGTGTTTTTTTTCCATTAATATTTGTGTAAATTTTTAAAATAAGAGATATTTTTTCAATTAAGGGAAAATATAAAAAATTAGAATATTTTTCTAAAAAATAAAATCGAATGTGATGTGCAGGTTTTTTTTTTTAATGTAATCAAATTAACACGCACATGCCAATGCAGGAATTCAACAACACACATGAGTAATTAAAAAAAAAAAACACTCAAGTACCGTAGGACAACTGGTCATTGGCGGCAGGATTGGTTGCTGAGAATAATAGTAAAACAAAAGATAATTTTACGGAAGTATGGGAGAGGCGTTGAGGCTTGAGAGGGCAGCCACCTCAATCTTGCCGGGATTTTCCTTTGATTTTTTAATGACAAACATTATCTCGTTGTAACTTGAAATCATTATTATCAAATCACGTCTTTAGAATTATCTGGACTACAACGCAAAATGAGCCTGTATCTGAGATTCGCAGGGGATCCAACCTCCCATGAATTCTGTTCCATTCACATTACTCCGATTTTTTTTTTTAATTTTCTGAGCAGAAAGTTATTTTTATATGAACCTTTTTTATTTTTATATGAACATTAACCCCTGAGGCCCGAATTGCTCCTTTTATATCCCTTATACGATGATGTGGAATGTCCAGGAACCCCGGTGGCCTATGATTTCCCAGCATTTACTACTATTAAGGATACCTTCTTTTAGCTTGGTCCCGTCTCACACCATCTTCAAACTATGTAATGAAAATTTCCCCCTTCCCTGGTCCACAAACAGGTGATTCGGGGGAAAAACAAAACCCCGTCAGCCATCCCCATTGGTCCATCACTTTCATTCTTTTAGCAGGCTCCATTATTATAACATGCCACGCGACCCATTCTTTGATCTACCCGAATTATCCACCCTCCATTTTGCCGGGAGGAAATCGTATGCCCTGATATATTAATCATCATATTCAATTTGAGCATCATCATCATGGGCAGATTTAGAGGGTTCATCATTTGCTCGAAGTTCTAGGCTCATTGCTGCGATTTTACTGATTCTTAGTGATTTAACAGCAACTCGGATTAGTCACCACCCTTCATCCCCTGCTTATAATGCAAGAGTCTTTCATGATCATAATTTAAATTTTCACACATTTTGTTCACGTTCTTACAATAACAGCACAACACTCTGGTCAAGGCATGTTTAATGCACGTCCAGAATCCGGTTGGGTCATATAAATTTACATTGAGAAGAAGCACCGCCATCAGCATCAACGTCAACACATATTTCTCAATGCCACATTCATTTGTCCCTCTTCTCATCTTGAAGTAACCATCCTGCACTTGGACTAAAATTGATAATTTATAAACCACGAAAGAATGATTCAAGAAGCATACATCTCCCTAACTTCTATTCCACTAAGATTAGTATTCTTACTGTCCTTTTGATATTTGCACATGGGAGATGATTGTGTGGTTTAAGTTATTTTTGTCTGTAAATAAAGCATTCCATTGAAGGCAATCTATTATAGTAGCCGCAAGAAGCTTCTAGAGTACATATATTTCTCCGAAGAAGGTTCATTCCCCCCTCGTCTGCACTGGAAATTTCATCCGTAGCTATGCCAATATGTTGTCTGATGCATTATGACGAGGCATCCGAGAACACTGAAGAACTGATTTCTTTATTTTTTACCTTTTTGTAACTTGTACTCCACAGTTTTAATGCACTATAGATGCAACCGTCCTATGCATTATCCAAACATTCCCCCCCCCAAAAAAAAAAATACCGCAATGTTACTACGCATTAATGCTGCACAAGCAGAAAGGCCTCAGTGTTCGAGGGTTGCCACTTTCTGCAAGCTGGTTAGAATTATTTTTTTAAGGCCAGAAGTTATGAACCATTGCGCAGCTCAAATTGCAAACTGTGTTCATATATATGTGTGTGCGCGCGCGCTCTTAAAAATCATATTGAAGAAAACTAAATGATCCATATAAAGAAAGTGTATATTAGTCTACATGTTATACTTGTTGGATTAACGGCCCGGATGAAGGAAAATAACAGTAAAGCACGTTAAATGTGAAACTTGTACTTCTCAGAATGCAAAGCTGTGAAAGCTAAAATATTCTAGATCCAACCAAGTTGGAAATGAACAAAAGTAGAATGTTCCTGTCAACCTGACTAAGCTGGACACCGAATCATTTTCATCAACTTCCTCGATATGGGATTGAAAATGTTAAGGACCTAGATTTACAGAGGCAGCGTGTTAGCTGCAACTCGGACCTGAGTGCCGTAATCTAAAATCAACATAAGCAGCACTAGAAATTACTAGCCTGTGAATTTCTTATGATAAGGATCATCTTACGTCCGGGTTGACCACTAATCAATATGCCATTTTTCATCTTTAGAACAAAGTGCATGGATATAAATCTATCATAAGTGCTAGTAGGATGCACCATATGTACCCTAGATCATATAAAATAAATGAGATAGCTCAAGAGGCCACCAAGTTAAGTTGATATCTCATTAACATTCCTTCTATAAGTACAACAAAACAAAAACTAGGAATTCAACATTAGACTTGATAGAAGCACAAAGCGGATGATATGACACAAAAATACAGAAAACACCATCTACTTACCGCCAAGCACGACACTCAGAAAAATAAGGTTTCTATTCTGGGCCCATGGCAAGATCATGCCAAGAATCCGCATTGGCTTGTTGAGTCTCCTGGTCTGGTTAACAGCAAAGCAATGTGTCAAGAAGAGAACCGGATACAAATCTCCAATAAAAGGTGTACAATTATTATAACCTCAGTAATTTGTTTCACGTAAGGTTGTCCAAAGATGCAATTTCCCAATCTGGACATGTTTAGCAAGAAACAATTTCATTTTTTTCCCTCTTTCTATTTCCCCTCCTGTTGCGTCACGAGATTTTACAGACTAACAAACATGTAAGTTACCTTGCAATCGTAGAAAACTGATGCAAGCGTTGCGATTTTAAAAAGATTTTACATTTTTGATGGAATTGAAGAAAGAGTTTATCCATAAAATACTATATAAATACTAACTTCCATCCTTCATATATGAATTAATTTGATTTTTAATTTGATCTTAAATATAAAAATTCAATCCATTTTATCTCTCATATTTATCTATCTATTTTTTTTTTTTTAATAATTACCCATATTAAAAGTTTTATTAAATGATAGATCTAGCTAATATACATAATTAACAATGGTATTTTAGGAAAAATAACACATTTATTACGAACAATTAGCTTAGCAAACTTTTCTGATCTACTCAGATTAACCGAAAGTAATAATAAACAACATGACTCAATTAAGATTTAGGATAACATACTCGATTCCTCAGTATCATCTGTTCGCACTATCAGTGTTGGAGGCAGTGGAAGATCTGTAAGAACGATAGGTTGAGTCGCTTATACATCAAGCTCAAACGACTATAACGGAGACATGCTTCGTTATGTTTGTAACCACAGGAGCTTATATCCCAAACAGGGTAAGAACATACCATCATCAGGAAGTGTATCTCTCATCCATTCCTCATCAACAACATCAATAAGAATACCCAAGCTCAGTTCTGCCATATTTGATCACTCAACAGCCTACGCCCTATTCGTAAAATACATGAGAGCGGGGATGAAGAGCAAAAGATCTGACACACAAATCTTGACATGAGCATCCTAGCCCTAACGAGCTCGAAGCAAAACTGAAGTGTATGAGATATAATAAACACAAAAAAAAAAAAAAACAGAATGCTAATCGATTGTGATATAAATCTAAATTTTTCATTGCGATCTAAAAGTCGACAGGATAGAAGGCTCGTTTCAGAACCATGATCAGTTACGGCCGAACATCAGCGAGCTCATAATTTTGAGTATTTAACATTTGAAATCTCTCCAACGAGACTGGCAATGCTGGTTACCGAGCAAGTATTGAAAAAGAAGAAAAGAAAGGAATCCACAATGGTAGATTCGAAATTCGAAATTCGAAATTAGAAGTAAAATAAAACAGATGGAGAAGAATAACATGACAATTACATTTGCAGAAGAAAACTAAGGAGACAGTGGGAGAAACCGAACCTAGAAGCTAGGGTAAGTAATCGCAGGAGTCGACAAATGCGGAGCGGGAGCAGAGTATAGAGCGAAAAATGTGACCTCGATTTGAAAATTGAAACTGATTGACTGGGCTTTAACCCGCCAGAGTGGCTATTTACTTGAGGGTTCTCCGGACGAGAAATCCCGTACATGGCGCGGAAACCTCTCATCTTTCTTCTTCATTCTCTTTCTTTTCTATTTTTTTAAATGTTAAATTAATATTTTAATAATTAAGATTTAAATTTTTTTAATAAATAAATAATAAATTAAAAATTTTATTAAAATTTAATTTTAATGGTTTGCAACCACACTTAATATTTTTAAAAATTTTATAAATAATTTATAAAAATTAAAATATCAATTATTAAAATATATTAATCTAAAAGTTGAAAAAAAAAAAAATTTTAAACGGAAAGGCCAAGTGGTGTTCACACGGGCAAAGAAATTTTGTGAGCTTTGACTTGTGTTTGAAGACAAATGGGGAGCATGCGACAAGCACGAAGGACAAAGGAAAAATTGGCATCTTCAAGATTATGCAGATTTCATTAAAAAAACAAATTATAAGAATCCTTAAAAGATTTTCAAAGGTTTGTATTGATGGATTTGAAAGTTGATTGGAACTCTATCATTACCTTCAAAAACTTTCCATGAATTAATATAAGAGAAGGAATATATAAATAAAGTATAAATAGAAGAAGGATAAATTAATAGCCACATCATCAAATAATAAAAAAAAATTAAAATAACAGTATTTACTATTATTTCTAGTCTTTAATATAAGATTTTATTTGATTTTTATTTTGATTTTAATTATAAGACTTTAATCTACTTTGTCTTTTATTTATGTATTTTTTTTAAGATAGTCTTTTTTATAATGGTAGTTCTAACCAATACATTTGATGAGTAGTGATATTTTAGAAAAGATAACAACTATTTATTATAAATAACTAACATAACTTATTTTCTTAATCTATTCAAATTAATTAACTAGTTTTTATATTTAAGATCTAAGGTAGTACTCCTCTGGTTCTAAATATAAGAACCTTATATTAGTATGTATAAAGATTTTATATTTAAGACCGGATGAGTAGTTTAATATGTACTGAGGATGGGATAAAAATGAGAGGACTATCCGAGCAAGGTTCTGACAAAACTAGAGCCCCTGGACTTCCTCACGTTGGAATCAATCATCAATTTCCTCAACCTTTCAGCCTCTTCCCTCTTCTGCCCCAAAACATACAAATCACATATGAGCGTGTACATCCCTCCATCATTTTCTGGTTTTACCATCCTCAAGACCTGCCCAATCACTCTCTCAGCCATCTCAAACTGCCCGTGCTCCTTGCAAGCCGACAAGAAAGATCCCCACACGACGACGTTTGGTTCAAGCTTCATTGCTCTGATCACCTCGTAAGCTTCCTCTAGCTTCCCTGCTTTCCCAAGCAGATCAACCATGCATCCATAATGTTGGATCCTTGGTTCTAGCCCGTGCCTTTCGATCATCTTGAAATACTCACGTCCCTCCCCGACTGACCCAGCGTGAACACAAGCACTGAGCACTCCTGTGAAAGTCAGTTCATTGGGTCTGATTCCCGCTAGCTGCATCTTCTCAAATATGGTTAATGCTTCTTCGTTGTACCCATGCTGGGCGAAGCCGCAGATCAGTGAAGTCCAAGATATGACATTTCTTTCTTGCATCAGTGCAAAAACTTGGGAAGCAAATTTCAAAAACCCACATTTAGCATACATGTTAACTAGAACGGTACCTAATTCCACACTCAAGTCCCATCCATTCTTCACCATGAAACCATGAACAGATTTCCCGGCTAATAATCCAAGAGCGCCCATGTGGGCACAAACTGATAAAACTGAATTGGCAGTGATTTCATCCGGTCTAAATCTCCCACCCGCCACCATACTTCGAAAGAGTGATAAACCTGGTTGATAATATCCATTATTCGCGTAAGCAGCAATCATGGCAGACCACGAAGCCACGTCCCAGTGCGGCATTTCATCGAACACTGACCGTGCTCCTGGGATATCCCCTAACCTTGAATATCCGGTAATCATCGAGTTCCACGATATTATGCTTTTCTCGGGCATTTCGTCGAACAATAGGCAAGCATCCGGAAAGGAAACAGCAATGTAGGCATTCAGGAGAGATGTTGCTACATAGACGTGAGAGCTAAAGCCAAGCTTCACGATATGGGCATGAAGGTGACGAGTAATGGCGGCGTTCTGCAGAGAAGTACAAGATTTTAAGGTGAAGAGAATGCAGAAACTATCAAAATGAACCGCGTTGCGGTGCATGTGAGCATATAAATGTAGTGCTTTCCGAGGAGAGGAGGCATTTCTCAAAGCTGCTGCCCACGAACTCATATTTCCAACAAACGACGACACAGAGAGATTGCCAAGGGAGGGGGATTAGGGAATTTTCTGCGAAGGTGGGCTGGTGTACGGTGATGGAGGCTGAAACATGGGTTAAGAGAGGGTGGGATCTTGCGTGGGAAGTGCAGGTCGAGTCTGATTCGGAACTGAGGAGGAGGACCCAGGACTTGTTGTGAACATTTTACGGCTGAAGTCTTTGAGCTGTTATGATGTACCGGTAGAGAGAAGCAGAGAATTGAGAATGCAAGTTGGCCTAATATTTTCGGAAGATTACACTATTTTCTTGGTAAAGTAAAAGTTTTTAACTAATTTTAATTACATGCCGTTATCCGCATAATCCAATTGAAACATTTCCATAAAATCATCCTACCAAAAATTTTTAATCCTTTTTATCCGACAGTAAGCGCTGAACGATTAGAATCGAGGGATCATCAATGTGAAATTAGTTTTATTATTATTTTACAAGTTATGAAATGTGTATATTAATAATACTCGGCGTCCGGGATACGAACGAATCTTCGAGAAGCATTAGAATTTAGATATCGAAGCAACATGGGAAGAGGAAGCACCTGACGGCGGCAAGGAAAGCATATCAATGGCTTTCAGGGTAAAAGCCACCACCTCCGCTTTATGTGGTGCTCTAATCTTCGCCAATAACCGCAGCAATATCTCCTCTGCCTGCTCTTTCTTCTTTAGGCGCCTCCCATGCAGATTTTCTACATTGCCTCTACCTTCCTCTGAATATACTTTCCTTAAAATCGCGAACTTCAATAACCCTAGTCCTAGGTTATTTTGTAGCTCTGAAGCAAATCCCGCCAAGAAGAAGGTCGACACCAAGGTCAATTTTTCTCTATCCGATTCTGAGGGTGAAAATGAGGACGACTCTGAAGATGCCCAGAAAGAAGCTAACAAGAACAAGAAGCTACCACCGCCTTATGACCCCTTCAATAAAAAGCCGGCGATTGAAGAGCCCAAGGATCCAAAAGATTTGCAAGAGATCTTTCACAACATGAGAAGCGGCGACGGGTTGCTAAATCACGCAGTCAAGATGTTCGACGCATTGTCCAAAGACGGTCTCACTCACGAGGCTTTGGAGCTGTTCGGTCAGATAAAAGACAAAGGTCAAATGCCCGACGTGGTGGCTCACACGGCTATCATCGAGGCCTATGCCAATGCTGGTCAGCCCAAGGAGGCCCTCAAAGTTTATATGCGCATGCTTGCTTCTGGGGTGTCTCCCAATGCTTATACCTACACTGTTCTTATTAAGGGACTTGCTTCTGATTCCAAGTTTTTGGGAGATGCCAAGAAATATATGTTGGAAATGATGGAAAAGGGCATGAAACCCAATGCTGTGACTTACACGGCCGTGTTTGAGGCATTGGCTAGAGATGACAAAGCGGAAGAGGCCACACACTTTTTGGAGCAAATGAAGACTAAAGGATTTGTCGCTGACGAGAAGGCTGTGAGGGAAGTTCTGAGTAGCAAGAGGGGTCCCATTTTCAGAACCGTCTTGAGTATTCTTTTTGGCAGGTAAATGGCTAGCAGCTAGCTATGGTGACGGTGCGTAATATTTGGGATGAGATGAGAATTGTGTCGTCTGCGGTCTTGTTTTCTGGATCCTTTGTCTTGTACGCATGGTTTTGTTGATTTACAGCGGGGAACCTTGTTTAAGTTACTTTCATTCATCCGATCCCAGGTCGGAAAGCGTTTAAATGCGACAAAATTTTGACCAACTTGGCCGCATGGTTCTTATTCTTAACATCTGCTACGCCTACTTCTCATGGAACGATGGAAAGCACTCAATACGAATCCCGCCTTTTGAATGAAAGAAAAAATTGTATCATTATACTTAATAATGTGTATTTATGTTTCATACTCTTATCTATTCCATTTTCGAGCTGCTCATCCAAAATGCAAGTTTGATTCGCCAAAAATGAGACTGCTAGTCCGAACCTAGACATGGAAACATGTGAGATGCCTTTGTATATCATCATCCATTCATTCAAGTTCCTGGCTCTCAAGAAAAAATGGGTCCAATTAAGAAAAGTGTGACTCGTACTTCAAAAAAACAGAAAGAAAGAAAGAAAATGGATTCCATTGTAGATGAAGGGTTTATTGGTAAATAACTTATAAATATCCCTAAAACAATTGTAAACCATTACCCTTGGGTACACAGATTGCGAACCAATGCAGATTTTGATGACCCCAAATGGATTCGAACTCATTCAAAGTGCTAGTCTTATCCAAAACCTTTCAGCCAATCATACCAGCTTGTATTGGCTCATACATTCCAATTGTTTTCTGAACCGAGTTTGAAATAGATTACATATTAGTAACAAATTAACTGGGGAGGAAACACGGGGGCGTACATAATTGCTGTTCTTGCTAAATATCACAAAATCAATACAAATGATAACTTTTACATCCCGGGTGAGAGGGAACGAACTCCAAGGCCAAAAATGGAGACCCGTATGGTGACAATGACGGCATATTAACGTTATTTCTGTCGTCCTTTCAGTGAAGCATTTTTTAATTTCCTGAGCCCATTAGGTTGCCGCCACCTGCGGCAGCTCAAGTCTGAGAAACATGGTGGCCCATAGATGATGAAACCATAAATTTTAGAAGCCGAATTTGTTGGGACATTCAGATGCGCGGTGTCCAGACTGGCCACAGTTAAAACAAGCCCCTCCAAAGGCCCTGCAATGCAATCAATAACATATCAGCCAAATATAGGTCTTACTGGGTCTTAAGAAGAAAATTACCAAACAACAACAGAATTCTAAGCAGAGAAACAAGTATGTTATCCATCTTCTCAACCATAATTCCTAAACCCAACCCCCAGTCTTTCTTCCAGACACTTTTCCTTGTATAGTTTGAGGACAACACATTTATCAGGCAAAGGGAATGCCTTCCACGAGAGGTACAAAATAAAACATCCCTTCAGAAGGGGCAAACTAAAATGTCAGGAGAAGTCATACCTGTCTGACGATGAAGACCTGCTTGATCTTCTACCTCCAATTAGCCAAATCCCCATCGTCGCTTCTTGCCCTTTGAGACCAGCTATTGCCAGCTCTAGAACTTCGACCACCTTCGATTTGAACCACCAAATTCACAAAGCCTCCGCTGTTTCTTGCTTTCCACCCACTTTGCATAAACCTAATTGACATGATAAACGACAACATAAACAAACATTAGCATTTTAATTAAAATAGAAAATAATTAATCTAGTTAATCTAGTATATTTGAATTTACAACAAATGAGGTCATTAAAATAAAAACATTATTAAGGAGTTCAAGTTGGCGAGAAATTTAAAAGGAATATATGTAAAAAAGTTAGATATCTAGACGTTTATTGAGGATGCCTTTGATATGTTTAAGAGAGAATAGAGCCCGAACAACAAAGATTTAATAAGGGAGGTAAAAAACAGCAAATCAGCCAGATCTTACAGTTATGAGATCAGAAAGCATTGTCCGCTTAGAAGTGGCAGTGGCTGATATTGCATGAAGTTTGTCCCTTCGCAAAGTTTTCCTCCTCTTCACCAACCTGTTGAGTAAAGTAAAAAAAAAAAAAAACTGTGTCACAATCAGTACTCTCTTTCCAGATAAAGAGCATCAAAATCATACTTTAACTTTCATTCTGCCAAAAATCAGACATAATATGCAAATAACTGCCTTAAACCACATAGGGTCAGGATTACTGATGAAGTTTGGAGAAGTTTTGAAACGGATATGAAACAGAGGACATAAATAATCTGCACCATTCTTATAAGTACATTTAAAATTAAGGCAAAAACACAAGTACACTTTACCAAATCACTTGTCAATGGATCGTCCCAAATATTTTCTGGCAAGTTTCTTCACCCAGGTAGGCATGGTGCAGAAAAAAGCATGCTCTGCCGTTCAGATGGTAGTTTCTCCAAAATTAATTCTACTCCTCCTAACCCCACAGCAAGCATCTGATCAGCCTCATCAAGGACCAAATACTTAACTTCACTCAGTTTAAGACTCTTCCCGTTTATTAGATCAATTATTCTACCAGGTGTTCCAACCACTACATCAACACCACGCGAGAAAGTGCATTTTGTTGTGTAACATAAGAAACACCCCCATAAACACAAACCGTGCTCAAATAGGGTGCAGATTCTTTTATCTCTTTCTCCACTTGCTTTGCTAACTCCCTGGTAGGTGCAAGGACTAATGCTTTGGGAAGACGACCAGATCGTCTGCAAGAAACCAGAAAGTGCATGCATGATAGGCATGGATTGAGTCTGAAATTATAGGCTTATAATGGAATGAATAATGATGTGAGTACCTCTGGGAGGTTCTTTGTTCATCGTCATGAGCCCTTTAATAATTGGAATCCCAAATGCCAATGTCTTTCCAGTTCCAGTCTTCGCTCGGGCAATAAGATCTCGACCTTCGAGGGCCGGCACTAAAACAGCTCTCTGATCACAAATTGTAGATTCCTTGTTACAAATTTATTTGAAGTGGAATAATTCTAATTTATTTATAAACTATGGGAATGGAGTTTATTTAGAGGAAGATGAGGAGGCTTCTGGGCTACAAGATTTACCAGAAACTATGAATTGTAATGAACATCTTCATGTGAACATAGCAAGCTATCAAAATGTAGGGTTCACATCTGTATAACACTAGAACTAGAATATTGGGTGACTCACCGCCCAACTCCGCTTCTTCGTGTAAAGAAGAATATTAACGATAAAGTTACGCTGGCCCTTGAAAAAAAAATCCCGCTAAAAAGAAAGAACGATATAGTATCAATGGAGAAATAAAGAACAACACCTGAATGGGGGAAAAGATGACTAATCCCGCGTTGCTGGAGTGACTCCACAAGGCGCGAAGGCAAGTCCAGCTTGGAGATGTCGAGCTCCTCCTCGTTGACAACAGCTGAAGAAGCCTCGGTTTCAGCGTCATAACGTAGTCATCGTTTTCAATAAACATCATCCAAAGGGTCTTTGTGGAGAAAACCCCGACCTAAGCCCTTGAACGCTTCTTCACTCAGAACGGAAGAATTGGGCGTCGCAATTGAAGAAGGAGGAACAAAGCTAGCTTAGGCTTAGCCCCGCTCTTAAAATTTCCGCCACCCTGTTACCGAGGTGAGCTCTCAGAACGTGTTAAAGTGGGACTTGTTGTCAGAAATTGGAACGAAAGGGGGTGGGTGGTAGCACCTGCTGTGTAGCTCTTTTATATAGTTCCCAGAGGACGGCGTCTGGGTATATAGATGAAACGCCTATTAAGAAGACATTGTCTCTTGAAAACAGAAGCCTCGGTCCCTTGAATACCTAAGAAACAGGAAGTATTCACTCCAATTCTGAGAACAGGAGAAGGAGAGACTGGAGTGTCAGAGTGCGAAGGAAGCTGGAGATGGAGGAGGCGGCAGGTAGCAAACACTGCGAGAACGTACTTCACTCCACTTCACAGGGGATAGGGCGCGGAGAGCGTGAAGAGAGGATAAGGCCACGCTCTCCAATGTATGGCCTTTTAGTCCTCCCCCCCCCTCAGGTGGTGAGGGATATTTATTAGATATTTGAATCGGTTCGGGTTTTCGGGTCATTGCCCATTAAGGGCTCCATCCGGATCAACGTTCATCTCCAGCCAGAATATATGAATATTAAATTCAATCTAATATATAATGTTCATAAAATTTAACAGGTACTTGTGTAGAATTCAATGTATGATATAAAATTTATATCTATGGTCTATAGTGGTTTGTATTGCTGATAAATTATAAACAGTGCATTGTTAGAAACAATGTTGCGTGTCCGGTGTTTTGATGATACCCTGACATTAATATGTATATTTATGGAGACACCGATTATTTATGTACTCCTCCATTCCCAGATGTAAAATTCATTTTATAATTTGCTGTGTTATTTATACACTTCTCCGGTGTTAATATAATATTTGTATAAAACATTATAAAATGAATCCTATATTTAAAGTTGGATGGAGTATTAGTGTGTTGCTGTAAATACATATTTTGTGTGCTATGTTACGAAATAAACATTATATTCAAGACTGAATGGAGTATTTAGTGTTACTGCATAGTAAACACATGACAAATCTATTATGCATTCTCCCTCTGTTTCTTGGCCCGCCAGCAAAATTCTGCTAAATATTCTTTGGCTAGGTCACATATTCCCTTTACAAGTTCGAATGAATATTTCAGAGCGTAAAAAATGAGTCGAATGAATATAAAAAAGTGGGAAGACTGGCCAAAAAAAAAAGGAATGTTGAATAGTAGAGAAAATGATAAATGTCTCAAATGCCTCTAATAAGCAGGGGGGGGAAGAAATGGCAGCGTTATTTACATCACTGTATTAAAAATGAACGGGACCGGCTGAATTGGAAACCGACAAACTGGTTATGTACCTGGTCCGGTTGACTGTATGAATCGAAAAATTTTACCACAATGATCAGGTAGGGCTGTTCACGGGACAGACCCGTCCCGGTTCCGTCTCGATAAACAGTAACGGGACAGAAAATCTGTCCCGTGTCCCGACCCGTCCTGGTCCCGGTCGGGACAAGATCGGACCGGGATGTCCCGGAGTTTTTTTAATTTTTTAATAAAATCTGATTTTTTTAATTATTTTTTGGGCTTAAACCTTATAAAACATCTTTTTATTTTTTATTTGTTTGGGCGCTCTTAAACAAAAGCCCAAATATTACATATAATAGTCATTAAAAACTCTAAACAAAAGCTTTTAACACAATAAAAACTTGCTAAAAATTCTAATCATCAATAATCTCAAATCATAACAAAATATAAAAAACTCTAAATAAATATATCCATAGTTCCATACAATAGTCTCAAATCTTAAAAAAATATTAAAAAATGATATTATATAAATAGGATTAAAAAAAAAAAAAGGAACCAGGACGGGACGACCCCGTCCTGTGTCCCGTCTTGAAAAATTTCGGGACGGGTCCGTCCCGTCCCAATAAGACCGAGAGACCGGAACGGGCTGGCCTTGAATGTAATATCCTAAAAAAAAAAAAAAAGAAGTAATTGAATAATATAAAATAAAATAAAATAATATAATATAATAATATTTTTATTAAAAAAAAAAATAACAAAAGTCCAACTTTCCACCGATTTTCAGTGGAAAGTGGAGAGAGCGTGGAATTTGGGGGAGGGGGCGTGGAAACGTGGGGTGTGGGTTTGACAAAACCCCTCCCCCAATAATTGTGTGGGGGTGTTAAATACCCCCCCCACAACCCATTTTCCCCCCACGGCAAACAAGAAGAAGAGAGAAAGAGAGAAGAGAAGAAGAAAAGAGAGAAAGAGAGGGCCGAAGTGTGTGTGAGAGATAGAAGCATACCGGTGAAGCAGAGGGCAAGCTTTGCAGATATTTTAGGTACATGAAAAATCTCTTTTCATCAGACTTTCTTCATAAATATTTCATATATATTTTATGCTTCATAATAGTAGTATTACCCTAGTGATTAGGGAAAATTTTGAGACTTATATATGATATAAGTATTGAGTTTGACAAAAGATGACTATAGAAATTTAGAAATAAATAAGTTGTTAATTTTAATCGGTTTAGATTTCTCTATTTGCTAGTTTTAGTATTTAAATTAATTTATTTAGTGGAAAATCTGTTATGTATGAGATATACCATATTTTTTACCGATTAAATTTAAGTTAAATAATTTATTTGGATTGTTTGAT